CGTGGTTGACGTTGCAAAGGCCCTTAATTGGCCCTTAACATATCCCACCAAATACTTTGGTTGTGAGCTGGGAGCACAGACCCGGTTCGATGTAAAGAATGACCGTTACATTGTCAGTGGATCTCATGAGGTGAATAAACTGCAAGACATGTCGGATAGATTCATTAAAAAATTGGTTCTCTGTCCTGAGTGTGAGAATCCTGAAACAGATCTGCATGTGAATCCAAAGAAGCAAACAGTAGGTAATTCTTGTAAAGCCTATGGCTATCGAGGCATGCTTGACACACATCATAAACTCTGCACATTCATTCTCAAAAACCCACCTGAGAATAGTGACAGTGGTACAGGAAAGAAAGAAAAGGAAAAGAAAAACAGAAAGGGCAAAGACAAGGAAAATGGCTCTGTATCCAGCAGTGAGTCACCGCCCCCGCCACCCCAAACGAAATCAGACTTCCTAACACGCTGTGGAAGAGGAGGAAGATGAAGACTGGAGGAAGCTCAGAGGCGCAGAATGGATGAAATCAGCGACCATGCAAAAGTCCTGACACTCAGTGATGATTTGGAACTGTAGAAGAGCGTGTGAATATCCTGTTTGATTTTGTTAAGAAAAAGAAAGAAGTGGGCATTATTGACTCATGTGACAAAGCAGTTGTTGCTGAAGCAGAAAGACTAGATGTAAAAGCCATGGGCCCTCTTGCTCTGATTGAAGCTCTTTTTAATGAGAAGATTAGAGAACAAATTAAGAAATACAGGTGCCATTTCCTCCGATTCTGTCACAACAACAAAAAAGCTCAGCGGTGTCTTCTTCATGGTCTGGAGTGTGTGGTGATGATGCATCAAGCTCAGCTCCTCTCCAGGATCCCGCATACCTTGAAGGAGGTGGACGATGCAGACCTTTTGGAAGATGAGGTCGTCATCAGCTGGTCGGAAAAGGCCTATAAGAAGTACATTTCAAAAGAACTTGCCAAAGAGATTCGTGTCAAAGCGGAGCCCTTTATAAACAGTTGAAGGAGGCAGAGGAAGAATCTTCTGGTGGTGAAGAAGATGATGAAGATGCGCACACTGAGGTGGTTTATTCGAAGACTGCCAGTGTACTGAAAGTTGAAACTGAAGTCTGACAATAAGGACGACAACATTGACATCGATGCCATTTAAAAGGAAGGATGCAACCTAGCTAACAGTGTAACACTGCAAATTGTTCATTGTCAGACAGAAGTGCAACATGTATGTGCAGAAGGTTCAATGGCTTAACACTGTGCTACACTTTCTACTAAAAATCTATTGCTGTGAGTGGTCTGTAATGAAGCCCAGTGAGACATCTCAGGAGTCCATCAGTGAGCAGATGTAGTTTGCTTATTTATAGCGTGTTTCTTTTGGAAAACTAGTGGTGGACATATTTGGATCACATTTATACAGTTAAAAAATAGAAGATTTGATTTTGGTCATTCTTCAGATTTGGGGCTCTGAATGACACTAAGTAATTGGCTCTTGTTTAAAATGTTGCACCATTGTTTATCCTATTGGGTCCTTGGAGCCTGGTAGGTTCTACTAAGCACTGAGATGGAAACACAAACTAACTTGGAATTACTTTGTTCAGCCTTTTAGAAAGACAGCACTTTCAGTGTTTGACCTCTAGTCCCTCAAATAGGCATATAGTAATTCTGGGGTAGACTGATAATCAGATGACAGTTCAGCATCTTAACTAAGAAGTAAAAATGACCTGAGTGTCCTATAAATAATTCTAAGAGCAAGTTTTGAAACTTGGGATTGTGATTTTTCAGTTCATGTGCACTTGCCCCAATTGTAGTCTCCAGTGTGCATTGAATGTTGGGATGAGCCAGGGAAATTATAAATTTGCAAGCAAGTGTTCTATGTGTATGTAGTGGTTGTACTGAAAAAATTCAGAGTTTAGGTGTGATTAAATCTTACGATTTTTGTTTGGGGGAAACACGTGCACTTAATTAGCAAGAGCTGAGCATAGTTTTTCAGCTTTTATCCTTGAGATTTAAGTTACCTTTCAAAATGTTTAGATATATTGTATCCTGTGTTGAGTGTGTTTTTCCCTCCCTGTGGTATTAAGGTCTATTCCTTAATGACTTTTATTTCTGAACACATAGTTTAGGCATTTTATATTTTGGTTGCTATTTTGCCAAAGTAAGTGTTACTTTGTGTTAAGCCTGACTCCCCCCCCCCCCATATCTTAGTTAAAGAGAAATGATGTTTAAAGCATGCTTGTAAGGCAGAGCCTATATTTTGGGGTGAATTTTGGGGTGTTCTTCACTTCACATTAACTACAGTCAGGCACTGGGAATCTGGACAGTGGCCACTGAATGTGGGTAACTGGGCCATAGCCACCTGGACTCCTTAGTTCCGTTAGCTGGTGAAGACTCCCTTGCTGGGGTCTGGACCATGTTTGAGTAATCCTTTAAGAGAAAATTTCCATTTGTTCCTTCCCACAGAGTGAACTCTGGGAATCGAGTGTGGTAAATTCTGTGTGGAGCGCTGACTCACATTATTTGACTCTGTTACTTTGTGATCCATCTCACAGATCTTAATAACAAATGTATGTAAATGTTTTTCACATTGAAATTATATAGATATTTGATAAAAGTAAAGCCTTGTTAGAGTGCTGTTTTAAGGGTTGGCCCTTAGCGATCTTGGTGGAGAGAATCACTCTCCGTAGGCCCCTGACTGGTTAGGGAGTGGAGCAGGAGCTGATTGCTTCAGGGAATGTGCCCGCCCGCCCGCCGGGAGGAGGCGCTCAAGCAGATGCACGCCCTACCGCCTGGGCCTCGGTGCTGCTGGGATGCTGCCGCTTCCCCTCAAGGGACACTTCGGGGCTTCCCCACACTTGACGGGTCGGGGCGTACACTGGTTGCAGTCTGGGACCAAACTTCAGTGGAACTGGAAACACACCTGATTTCATTCACAGCTTATCATAATAGAGTAATCCTTTACTTTGCTCTAATGGGTTGTCTTAAATTATTTTCCTGTTCAAAACGGCTGCATTACTTGATTAAAACACTTAAAATTCTAAAAAAAAAAAAAAAAAAAAAAAAGTGTGACTGTCGAGGAGGTCCTGAGACCTGGACCACAGCTTCTTTCAGAGACTTTAATGCGGGCAGCCCTGGCTCTGTGCCACCCAAGTCTAGGTGGAAAGACAGCTTTCCCCCAGGAGGTCTCCCAAGGACAGCCTTTGTAATCGCCAGTGGTTGGACCTGGAAATCACATATGCTTGTTTCATAAGAGACAGAACTCAGTCAAAGAGATACCAACTGGTAAAACTAAAATCAGTAAGTTACTAGATGGCAAATGGGAAATTAATAATCACTGGTGTGTAAACTTCATGTCAGCAGAAATCTTATCTGGTTGTTCATTTTCGTAATCCAAGACTAGCGCAATGCTTGGGATAGAATTGATACTCTGAGTGTTGGCGAATTAATTTATGACTGTTTTTTAGTGAACAACATATTGTGCCTAAAAAATGAACAATGAAATTCCAAGCAAGTGCTAATAAAGGATAAAAGAGAATGCAAAATTGATACTAAATAAGCTGGGTTGCAAGTCAAAAACAGAAGAGCCATAGAAACTTGCTCTATAATGATAATTGCTTAGTCGTCAAAGAAGATCTAATTGTCATGCGTGTACATGCATAAAATAACATCAGAGTTATAGGGCAGGACATAATAAGAAATATCCCTCAACAAGTTTTTTATTGAATACCCATTATATACTACAAAAAGGACACCATTGTCTTATGGATATAAACTCAGTAATTCTAAATAAAATGTCAGGATATTGAGCAGATCAGATGCAATAGGTTAGAATTAGGAATTCTGTTAACATCATTTAACATGCTAATTGGAAAGAAGAAAACTGTCAGATATTTGGCAAGACTCAGGATAATTTTAATTTCTCTCAATAAAATTAAAAAACATGAGTACTGGGTCGGGGAAAGAAAAGAAGGGAAAAGAAAAAATATAAGAAAAGGAAAAAATGGAAACAGAGTCTTTGTAAATAGGGAAGGGTGGAGGGAGTGAAGGGAGGGCAGGGGAAGGGGGAAAAAACAAGAACCAAGATGGATTATGTAAAGGTACAAGATCCCAATGATGAATGTAACTGTACGATATACCTAAAATGTGCCAATAAATGTAATAAACCATGAGTATACTCATATATAACTTACTGGCTTTGTAGATATTTTTTACTCTAATACAGTGCAGACTAGGAGGTCTGTAAGTACCTACCAATCAGTGATGCTTTTTGTTTTCACAGCCGGTGATACGCTGACCAGTCACTCTATGGTGTGTCTCTACATCGAAAACAGAAAGGGTCTCATTTTCAATATCTGTAACTGTTGTATTGTTTTGTAGTTGTTTATAGTCAAGAAACTTCAAATGACTGTAGAAAAGATGAATTCAACTGATTCCTAATTTGCTTCTTTTATATATCATATGCTAAGCAAAGAGAAGCGTCAGGCACATGTTTGTCATTCTCTTTAGGCACTTAGTATATCTCTAGTCAGAAATTTAAAGGGATCGGCCCAGAATGACCATCTTCTTGATTGTAATGCACTTCTGCAATGCTTAAAAACACAGAAAAAGGCAAATCTTTACTCCGAGTTCCGTGAAGAGTGGGTTAACCTGGGAACAGACCTTCGAGATCCCATGCCAGAGATCATTAGTGATAAAGTTCTCCCTGTGTGACTGGAAAGCAGAGCAGTGTTACGCTGGAGCCGGCCTGGAGGCCACAGTGCTCAGGACAGAGGGAAGCCCGTTCCTACCCTGCACTGGCCCTGGCACGGGACCTCACAGCCTTGGTTTACTGTCTTACTTCCTCACAAGACTGCTTTCGGAAGTTAGCTTGACTGGAGTTGATTTGAAAAGTATTTTGTTATATAAACTGTTAAGATTTCTGGTATATTTAGTTAGGATTGATTAGCATTTTTTTCTTCTATCTGCTTTTTTATATTCTTTTTCTCCCAAATGTTCATTCCTCAGGGCATTACACTGGAAGAGTTTGACAAATTATCTTTCAATATGATTTTAATGAGCCCTCCATGTCAGCCATTTACAAGGTATGTACAGTGTATTTTTCTGAGAAAGTGCTTTTGAAGACCACTAGCTACGTTTTCACAGTTTTGAAAGTTTTCATAATACACAATTCCTTTCATCTACTCATAGTCATAATTCAGCATTAATCTTAAAGGAAATGATGATTATAATTATATGGAGCACAATAGTTTGATCAACAGTAATATGTAAGATGGTACTCCCATATACCTACCTAAGATACAACATTGATTTCTGGCCCAAATCATTTTAGTTTGTTTCAACTGTTGAGCATTTAAGAATACAGTTTAATGAAAATGAATTTCCATAATAAATATTCAAATTAAATTTAATACAAAATTTAAAAGCTTGTCTAGCATGCATTTATTCATTTGTGCATTTTATATTTCTTAAAATTGATATGTACATTTAATAATTCTGACTTTTCATAGCCAGCGATTATAATTTCTTTATTAAAAATCATGTACTATTTATTTTACTACACATTTTGAGGAATTATGTCTTAAAATCTTAGCTAAATCATCTTCACTTACATATTTTTAATAATTTTATTTTACATTTTAAGTAGTAATAATAATAAACCTCTAAGTGTCCTACATTCAACAAACTCATGGGGAAAGCATTGCTCTTATTATTATTTTATAGGTGAGAAACTGGAGCATAGAAAGGTTAAATAACTTTTCCTTGAAAATCTGAGCCAGGATTTATCAATCATTTTATATATTTGTTACGTAATGAAAGAATACTGAATACCAAAAGAGCATAGAGAAGGAAATGGCTAGTGCTTACCAGGAGAGGGGCATTCTTTCAGAGGTGATGTCTGAACTATGTCTGAGAGTAGATAAGAGTTTATCAGAGAGGGCAGAGGACATTCCATATAAAGTAGCTCTAAGTGTAAGTATGAGTGTGATCTGTTAGGTACAGTAAGTAGGGTATACAGAATAAAATGCAGCCCCTCCATTGCACAGCATCATATATTACCCCGATATCTTTCTTACCACTGCCCTTAACCTTATTCTCCTAATTTCAGCTGCAGATGACCACAGTAATCGTTCTATAATTGTCAACATTTAGAACTTGGAGAAGAAAGAGGCAGAATGTGAAGAACCAAAGATTTCTATAGGAATCTGTTTAGGTCCAGTCTAATCCCTAAGCCTGGGTCCACTGATGATGTGGGCCCTGCTAACTGATAAGAGCCATTGGGTAACTTATTTAAGATTATGAAGCTAATGAGTACCGAGGTTTTGAACTCTAGTCCTCTTCCTGCTATTCAGGCCTCATCCATATCTTTCCTTCTGCTTGATCCTTGGTCATATTGTGAATTTAACTTGTAAAATTTAATTGTTAACCCCAATACTGCCTGTTTATAGAAGCAGACCTTCAGCTTAAAGCCTCTGTTAACATTGGACAAGATTGTCTTAGTTATTATTTTACCTGCTGAAATGATGATTATCGCCAGTGTCTTGAGTTCCAGTCTCCTACACGCCCCAGGCAACTTATTTATCTGAACTCTTGTTGTCTCACACGGGTCAGAGCAAAAGATATTATCAGCAAATTGTGTGATGTGTATTTTAAGGGAGTACTCAGTTATATTACTTAATGAGTTTGTGTTCTTCTTTGGTTCATGTCAGTTACTTTGGCATGTTGCTTTATAAAACAAGCTTTAAGTGTATTTATTAGATTTGTAAGGCTTCTTCTTTCAATTAAACAAATAAATACATTTTGTTCACTAAAGCCTCAAAGAAGCCTATATTTTTTTGCTGAGGATCAACTATTTTAAAATAGTACACACAAGTTATACAGAAAAGTGGCTTTCATTTTGCCATATTCATATATGCATGTAACATACTTTGTTTTTATCCTCTCATGAACTTCATCCCCTTCCTCTCTCCCAGTACCATTTCTTTTTTAAAGTTTTCCTTCTAGATTCCTCAGGTGAAGGAAAACATGCTATCTTTGTCTTTCTGAGTCTGGCTTATTTCATTTAACATGATGATTTCCAGTTCTATCCATTGGTCCACAAATAACATGATTTTATTCTTTCTGGCTGAATTGTCTTCCATTGTGTATAGATAGCACATTTCCTTTAACCGTTCATCTGTTGATGGCAGCAAGGCTGTTTCCATGGCTTAACTATTGTAAATAGTGCCACAATAAACATGGGTATGCTTGTATACTGATTTTAATTCTTTTGGGAATATACCAAGGAATGGTTTTTCTAAATCAAATAATATCTCTATTTTTAGGGTTTTGAAGAAATTCCATACTGATTTCCATAATGGTTATACTAATTTACATTCCCACCAACAGTGTAACCCCCCCCCCCCATTTTCACCAACATTTATTGCTTTTTGTGTTCTTGATGATAGTCATTCTGACTGGGGCAGATTGAATCTAAATATAGTTCTGATTTGCATTTCCCTGATGGCTAAAGATGGACCGACATATTTTAATGCTCTCAGTTTTGACTTTTTCAAAGCAATTTGCTATGTTTATATAAAATTCTTGATAATCTTTTTTTGTGCTTTCTTCCTTTAGAATTGGCCTACAGGGTGATATGACTGATCGAAGAACAAATAGCTTCTTACATATTCTAGATATTCTCCCAAGGTAAAATCTTCTATTTTTGTACCTTAAACTTAAAACTATGGGTCTGGAGCAATGTAATGTTAGTCATTCTGTAGAGATTAGCAGTTTTTCAAATACTGTGCATGTCATTTATCATCTCATGCCATGACTAATAGAATAACTGCAAGTGTTCTTTGATTCCATGCTTGCCACCACAGTGAGTGACAGGGATTATAACCCACAAGTTGGATTCTATTGCCTTTCCTCACAGAAGTAATGTAAATGATGCTAATGTTAGTGACTGCTGTTCTCCATGGCAGAGACATGTGCTAACGCCGTCACTCTGTGTGAATGGCCTCCCTTTGAGTTGTGCAAGCCCCTGTTTTGAGGTGAGCCTCAAAAGAAATTAACATTTCAAGTGTGGACTTTATCAAGTGTGCCATATTTATGGAGAAAAAATGAATAAAATATGAGTCCTCTCCATTCTCTAAGTCTCCTTTATAAAGAATTTAGAAAATTGCTTAAGCTCATGTTTCCCACAAGTAATGATCTTCTTTACTTTTTACTTCTTGTAATGAAATATTTGGAATTACATTGTTTGATTTTTTTTAGATTACAAAAATTACCGAAGTATATTCTTTTAGAAAATGTTAAAGGTTTTGAAGTATCTTCTACAAGGTAAAAAATGTATTTGTCTTGCCTACATCTTCCACTTGGTGTGTTTTATAGTAGGAATGATTCTGAAAAAAAAGCTCACAAAATAAACATGTATGTCACACATGCACATATTACATACTTTACTTACTAATATTGATGTTGGCTAATAATGTAAAGTATTATAACGTTTCGGCCTATTGAGTCTATCCCATTTTGGTATGTTTGAATTTTTCCAGATGGAGCCTTGCTTTAGTGAGAATATATTTCTCAATTTTAGTCACATATTGGTGCCTATTTCTTTTGAAGTAGCAAAGTGTTCAGTAAGAACTGGTCCTGGCAATGGGCATTTTCTGCCCTCCAGTTTCATGCATGAAGTAGCCCTGCATCCGAGGTCTGTCCTGGTAGCCCAGGTGGGGAGAAGCACCCATCTGAGTCCTTGATTTACCTGCTGTTCATAATAATAGTGTTTCTATCCAATTTGCTGCCACAAAGATATAGCTTCAGTTTCTATAGCAAATTCGTCAGTAGATTAGTGATATGAACTTTCATCAGTTTGAGTGATTATTATTTGGCAGCTTTATTTACTTGTAAAAAAGAATTATCTCTGTCTTTTTAATAAAAGGTAATTTCTCAAGTACTAGACTTAGCAAGGGCTTGAGATTATTGTCTTTCTAAACAGATTGAGTGCAGTTACAGTTCTCACAGTACAGTTTTATGTACATTATTTTATGAGTGCCACTTCCAAATAAAGGGTGAAAGCTTTTCTTTTTCATTTTATTTTTCTTTTCAGAGACCTATTGATAGAAACAATAGAAAATTGTGGCTTTCAGTACCAAGAGTTTCTATTATCTCCACCCTCTGTAGGTAACACAAGTATAAATCCTTTTATGGATTATAATTTAAGGATTTTTTTTCTTAGTGGGAATTTGGTTAATAAACAAAATGGCTCTATATTCAATAATATGTAAATCCTGAAATTAGTTCAGATTTGGGTCTTACTTTCTAAAGAATGTAGTAAATGCATGTAGATTTATTTATACTTATCTCATGAAAAAATTGTATACCTTGAAGCTCATGAAGGATACATTTTTTCTTTGGAAAAGAAATGATAACATGTTGCATGTTTTGAAAATATGTGCAGTTTGGCATTTCCAAAGTAGATGTGCTGTGTTCAGTAATGCTTCACAATAAACCAAGCTAGAAAATAAAATGAGTGTATGATAATTTTCTAATTACTTTTTGTGGGACATATCATTAAATTGTAAACATTCATTTCATGTTAAGGAATTGAAGTAATTGATTTTAATGTTATATGACAGATTTTGATTTTGCGTGTCACTGTGTTTTGTCATTGTTCTTTTTAGTTTCTTATCATCCTTAGCCATATTATATATTTATTTTCCCAGAAATAAAAAGAAAACCCACTTAAAAGATAAATATACAAGCTGTGGAAATTGGCAGTATATCTGATCTCTTTAAGTTTATTTCATATTTAGTGCCTTTCAACTGCTAAAATATAGTGAATCCTTTTTTAATCAAAGTAATAAATAACCAAGAGTAACTATAAGCAAATTTCATTTTTGATAAAATACCTGTAAATTATAATTATTTTACCTGTGAAATATAAAATGAAAGTGACTGATACACACATGATTCATTGGATTCAATCTTTACTTCATATAAAACAGCAGGTTAACAGGTTTAGAATTCACTCCAAAGAAATCTTCCACAATTCACTGGCGGAATTTGCCCTGGCAGAGCCTGGATGAGCACTTGTGGGTTTTGTTACTGACATGAGTGGGATGCATTCAGTGCTGAGCAGTGACAAGCTGCTCTGCTTCCCTTGCAGCTCGGCATTCCCAATTCAAGGCTCCGGTATTTCCTTATTGCAAAGCTTCAGTCAGAGCCATTACCTTTCCAAGCTCCGGGCCAGGTATTATGGTTATTATTATTGTGATTTCTCTGTTGTAAATGTATCTCAGTCTGCTAATTTAATTTCAAGAACTGCTTTCTCTAGGGTTCTAAGTATCAAGTAGAGTCCATACATAGTCCTGACCATGCTGTAGGTCCATCTCCGAGGCCTTTTCCCTCACCTGATGGCACTTTCAACATAAAAAAAAGTCTTCATCAGAAAAAAAAATAAGTTAAAGTAAGAAAAAGCAAAAAAAAACAAAACAAACTTACCATCAGTGTTGGTAACTTATCCTTTGACCATTGACTGTTGTGCATTTATCATTTTCTTTCCTCATATGAAACTGTTGGTTATTTTTGATAAAATATAAAAATGACTTAAGAATACTTTAACACATTGGTTGCATTTTCTTTAAAGCCAATACTATTTAGCTTAATGGATTATAATGTAATAATTTGTAAAGGAATAAAATATTCAATTGGTACAGATAGAACTAATTCTGTGAGTAATTTTATGTGCTTCTGACAAAAATGGAGATGGTAAGTGGGAGGGGAAAGGGAAAGGAAAGAAGGGAAAAGAAAAAATATGAGAAAAGGAAAAACATGGAAACAAAGTCTTTGTAAATAGGGAAGGGAGGGCAGGGGAATGGGGAAAAAACAAGAACCAAGATACATCATGTACAGGTACAAGATCCCAATGATGAATGTAACTGTATTGTATACCTAAAATGTACCAATAAACTAAATGGAAAAAAAAAATGGAGATGGTTTAACAGTTTCATTGGTTCCGAGAAGCTCTCCAGAGCTACCACTAGTTTGCATTAAGTACTCAAAAAACAAGTCCTGCTGAGCATGGTGGTACATGCCTGCAATCACAGCACTTGAGGAGGCTGAGGCAGGAGGATCACAAGTTTGAGTCCTGTCTTGGTAGCTTAGCAAGACACTATTTCAAATAAGAAATGGAATAGGACTGAAGATATAGCTTAGTGATAGAGAACCCCTGGGTTCAATCTCTCAGTAACACAAACAAAACCAAACCAAAAAGGCAAATCCTTCTAAAAGGAAATCAGTTGTGTCATTTGAATCTCCTGTAATTAAAATACTAATATATTCTCCCTTTTCATAAAGAATCATTCCAAAAATAATGTATAAAGTACATATATTAACAAAGACTTAGTCATTAAAAATGCCTGAGACAGTTTTTGCTTTCTAAAATGGGACTTTACACATGGTTATGAGTTTTGCAGAAAAAAGTTTTTCCTATGGGACTCATGAGTAGAAATAACCTTTCACATGAAAAGCACTTTTCTTTTTAATTACTAGTTTTCTTTTAGATCATGAGTATGCTCCAGTTTTTCCTTTTTAATAAAGGACTATGGCAAACTTTGACCCAAAAAACATTTTTTAAGAAATGTTAATGTTGCTTTTAAATTTTTTCCAAAGATGATGCTTTATCTGTATTTAATATACTTCCTGTTGCTTTGTTGAATGTTTTTATTAATAAATACAGAAAACAGTAATTCCATGAAATAAATCATCTGTAGCTTGATGACACTGGTATAACTATGTGATTAATAATTTGTAATAACTTGTACAAATACAAGTAAACCACAATTTCTGTCTTTTTAGTTGTAACCTTATAAAGGCTAATGCATTTTTTTCATAATGTTTCCTGGATGTTATTAATTTATTTTTGGTGTTTAATAAAGCTTTTGACAATTTGTGTATTTTTTACTTAATGCTAGGTACTGATGGATTTTCCCAAAATTGAATCTGAACATCCACAAAAACATGCAGTAGATGTAGAAAATAGAAGTAACATAAAGAAAATTGAACCTATTACTCACTTTGATAAAAGTCCACAGTGTTCTGGAAAAGATACCATTCTTTTTAAGCTTGAAACTGCAGAAGAAATCGACAGAAAGCATCAACAAGACAGTGATGTCTCTGTGCAGATGCTGAAAGATTTTCTTGAAGATGACATTGAGACGGATCAATACTTTTTACCGCCGAAATCATTGCTGCGATATGCTCTTTTATTAGATATCGTTAAGCCCACCTGCAGAAGGTCTGTGTGCTTTACCAAAGGGTAGGTTTTCAAGACTCCATTTGTGTTGTATCCACAGTATCCAGGCTTTTCTAGCTACTGTTTCGTTGAGTTTTTAAAACAAAGAACTTTGTGTAAAATGTTTCTGCTGGAATGATTTTTTTTCTTGCTCATAATTGCTTGCTTCGTGTTCCATTAAAACATAAGTGAAGTTTCCTTCTGGCAGGACATTATGTGCAGCACCACAAAAGTGTTCAGACAAGGCCATTTCTTTGGTGAGCTTTGTAAATAAGCAGCGTTTACACACGGTTTCTGTAGCTCCCAAACTGCCAGGTTTTTACTAATTCTCTTTCCATGACACATCAAGCCTCAAAGAGTTATGTCCATTCTCCTGAAATATGTGTAAGAAGAAATTAAATTTTAATCTAAAAATAAAATTGAATCATCTGGAGTACATTAGGGTAAATTTTAAATTTAAACTTTTTTCAGTTTTTGAATACTATATTACCATGGTTCAGAATTCAAAAGGTACCAAGATTATAAGACTCCTTTTTGCTTCTGTCTCTTGGCCAGCTAGTATATCTGCCCCCCCTGCAATGCACAACATCATTTTACTTTATTACCTTCCAGAAGGGAAGGTTATTTGAGAGTTTAAGTATACATATATATTTTATCTCTATTTTAAGGGAATGGTGGCCTACTACATATACAGTATTATATGCTCTTTCTTTTACTACACAGTAGAAATTGGATATTACAGTGCATCAGTACATACAGGTCTTTTTTATTTTTATGGTATACATATGTCATAACTTGTATTACTGGTTACGGATTGATGAACATTTAGAGTGCTTCCATTGGGTTCTTTTTTAAATGTTTAATACACTTTCTTCAATTTTTAAAGCCTAGAAGGAAGGGGGAAATTATGCTTTTTCAGAGAAATTTTGCCCAAGATCCCATCTTGTGAATGCCACTGACCGCATTTGATAGGTAGTCGTGTGATGTGACAGTTCAAGCCTTCTCTTACCTACTGGTTAGCAATCATGGACAAGACACTGCCCTGACAGAACTATATCAGACTCTTACTTTGTCGTGCTCTGCCCTTTACTTCTAGGGAAAGGGGTATATTACTTTATGTTACCGTAAGACTTCACTCAGCTGTTGTCTATTACCAAGTCCAAGAGGTTCTGTTCAGGACTCTCATAAAATACGACTTATCAATTTTGTAATAAAAAGCAACCTTTAGATTCTTTCAGAATTATAAAGATGGTAAAAAAAAAAAAAAAAGAAACCTTACTGTAGAAATCTGTTCTGCTATAGATAATGTATAGATAATGGTCTACTCTAGATAATCTACTATAGATAATATATATTCACATGTGATATACTTGAAAAAATAATTTGAAAAAGTTATTTTCCCAGTTATGGCTTTTTAAAACTGCATATCTTATATTCTCTTTGCAAAATAATAACAATGGTAATATGTAGAATAGCCAGTTTGGCAAATGATATTAGAGGAAGAAATAGTACCAATTCCTTTCATTTCTGAAGTATTTTATACTTTTTATACAGCTTTTATATGATGGTTCAATTCTTGTTGAAAATGATAGTAAGCACATACTGAGTTAAGTGAGAGGCAGAGCCTGGCTCAGTGGGACCATGGTTGTGTGGTATTAGCGAGCAGGGCTTTGGGATCCTGAGAAGATGTCATGGGTCAGACATTATTAAAAATAGCCATATTTCGGCCGGGGATTTAGCTCAGTGGTTTTGCCACCTGCTGTGCAAGCGCAAGGACCCAAGTTCAACCCCCGGAAAAAAAAAAAAAGCCATATTCTCTTTTCACCTATACAGTGATTTGTTTTCGTGTGGCAGGGCTGCCAGTATTGGATAACCTTTGAGTACAAGGTGTAGTCTCTAGTGGCGAACATCACAGAAATGACAATTCCAGAATGGCAATAGTAATCCAATGATGTTTATACAACTCAAAAAACTATGTCGTTAACTTCTGAGTTTAAATAGAATTATCTTACGTCTTTTCCCTAGTAATTTTTCAATTACAAGTACATTTATAGGGTATCATTCAGTATATTTCAGAAGGATGCATCCGACTACCAAGATGAAGTCACTGAAGAAATAAGTATGCAGTTTAGCACTGACAGCTCCTTTAGGTACTGCCTGATTCTCATGTTGATTTTTCAGTTATGGAAGTTACATAGAAGGCACCGGATCTGTGTTACAGACTGCAGAGGATGTACAGGTACCATGTATGTCTTAAAACGGAAATATTTGAAAACAATAATATTACATTTCATTCTTAATTTGAAAATGTTAATTTTACATGTTCAACAGAGAATGAACTTTATTCATTTTTGTATATATTCATATCTAGTTTCTTTTATGTAGTAGAAAAATTCTTGTTGTCATGTATGAGCTTAAACATAGAGGGTTTCATTTTTATTTTCTTTCTTATATTGTACATTTTTATTTGATAAATAGTAAAGTGAAATTTAGCTTACAGTAATTAATATTCTAAAATTTTGCACAAACATCTTAATGTTGATGTCTTCCTTTGTAGCACCTACCATAAAACTTCTTTTAAAGAAAAAAATTTGTTGTAGGCAATGCATTTTATTCTTTAGTTATAAACTCTTCCTGGTATCATAGTTGAAAATAAGCCTGAGATACAGCAAATGTATATATTTGTTAATAATTGTAAAAGCACATTCTCTTTTTTTGTATTGATTCAAACTCTTAACTATAAATAAAATTTACTTATGATAAAAATTTTGTCATAGGTCAGTGAAGGCCTGGGCTTGAGAAATCGTATTTAATATACAGTATTTTATCATCTTAAGAGAGTATTTTAACTGGATGAAATTATATAAACAACACATTTTAACTATCTTGTTAGCATTGTAAAGTTGACTGTTGCTTTGTTGGTTGACCTAATTTCCTTTGTATCTTTCACTATATTTATGTTATATTGTCATTTATTGGTTGTAATCTCATGATTTCATTTTAAGGAATTGACAATGATAGATACACTGAAACGTATCCTAATCTATTCACTGTTAGCCTTTTCTCTTTTTCAAAGTTTATGTTGTGATTCTTGAGCCAGGTATGTAGTTTTTTGCACACAGACATTTTGCCTGTGAGTCTTGCTGCCAGGTGTCACAGGACTTCGTGTCCATTACTTTTAAGCAGTCTTGCGGCTGGAAAACCTTGCACAGTACTTTCTCATAATCTCATATGTTTTCTTGTAGATTGAGACTGTCTACAAATCCCTTAACAATTTGCCACAAGAAGAACAGATAACAAAGTTGTCAGTGCTTAAACTTCGATATTTCACTCCTAAAGAAATAGCAAATCTTCTTGGATTTCCTCCAGAGTTTGGTATGTGGGATCTATGCAGTCCTCACCTTTCATTTGTTAAAGCTCTCAAAATCCCCTTTGAGCCTCACATGTATATTTAATGAATAAATCCTTGCTAGACAGGTAGATTCAACAAACCCCCTTCCTGCCCCAAGTGCCACTTTTGGCATTTCCCTGACCTCTTTGCCCTTTTCCTAATAACCTGCTCCAGTGCGCACCTTTCTGACTCTGACCCTGAAGTCCAGCAGTGCTCCGAGTGGTAATGGACAGTTCCTCACCTGCTCGGATATCTGTTAGTAACCTCTGTAACCTCCTGTTTGAGCCCATCCTCTTGCTTGTGGAGTTCTGATCTCAGGAAGCCAGACTGCATCTTGTGAAGAATGCCTTTTATTGCCTTCTTCACTGAAGAAACCCAAAAGGCAGTTCAGTTGAGGGATCGGCGTGAGGGATGTTTGTGTTTATTTTCCACTGCAAACACATTTTCATCAGTTACACACCTTTGTCCTTCCCTCCAAGGGCTGATTGAGGTAGGAAAGTCTAGGAAAGCAGGGAGACCCTGGAGCACAGATTAGGGGCTCTCTGCAGGGCATTGCAGGGATGAGAGTGAGCACAGAGTCAGTGCTGTGCACTGTAAGAAAGCCATTGCTGGTAGGCCTGGGTGCGTGTGTGCGTGTGCGTGTGTGTGTGTGTGTGTGGGCACAAGTGTGTGCGTGTGTGTGGGGGGGCACAAGTGTGCACATGCGCACCCAGTACCTGGTTAATGACCTTACGAAGGGGGTTAATGTGCTTTTGGGAATTCTGAGTGGAAATTTGAATGTAGAAAAGCAAAACTTCGTTGAATCCATGCTGTTGTAATATTAATACAACTGAAAAATTAATGAAATAGATCATGTGTCAGATTCTAAATAGTGGGTTTACAGATGAGGCTTTGGGACATAATCCTTTTGTACATTGGGGGGAAATTGCCAATATATTTAACTACTGTCTTGGTGATGATTCTCTAAGCATAGTCATAGCAACCAAGTTTAGTTTCCACTCCCTCACATCCCTCGCCCCTTTGGTGATCTCATTCAGTCCTGAATGTCCTGGGGAGTGTTATTTAAGAAAACATTTCCTTGCCTAGTTTATGTCACAAAGCAAGAGAGAAGGTCACAAAACAAGGAGCCCAGATGTGGACTCCAGAATTCTAACCTGCAATTCGATTTCTGTCCTTTTGTAAACAATCAGACTCACTTTACACACGAATACAGATGAGACTATCTAATAAAAATGAATTCCTAAGTTTAATCAGAGTTTATTTTATTCGGGAATGCGGAAGCCTGGTCAGGGGCACAGAGTTCAGACAGTGTGCATCCTGGCACCACCCTAACCTCTGCCTGTCTTCATTTACTTGCTGCGTACACTTACTTCACAGGGTCGTCCTGGCAAATAAGCTCATACAATGTCTGCGACAGTACAAAATTCACGTTAGCTTTTATTTTTAAATGACAGACACTTGTTTAATAACCTTTACTTCATAAATTTGTTTCACTGGTTTTAAATTTTAGGTTGTAAAGTGGAACTTTTCAAAGTTCTCTGGATATATTTGTAGAATACCTTTTTAAAAAATATAGGTGATATATAAAAAAGAATCATCTATGTGATGTATTTGGGTAGACAGTGTCCCACTGAGTAGCACTGTGGCACAGCCGTCCTTCGCATGTGTTCCCAACACAATTGATTTTAGGTCAGAAATGGGCATTGTTTGGGCTGTTTGTCCACTGGCAAGGATGGATTTGCATTGATCTTTCTGTATTTTTTGTCCTGATTCTTTGTGACTGGCTGCAATGTGTTGATGAAGTAGCTGAGACTCTAACCTCCACTTACTGTTTGAGAGCTATTATCCTCAGCTTGTTTATTTCTATTTCTTTACTTTTGAGCATTATTCTTGTCATCTTAACATATCCGAATTTTTAGAAGTCACCCTTTAACTTAAGCAATTATGTATTTTCTATTAATTAGTTTAGACTTTAATATCTCTATATAAAGTACACACAGATACACATGCATAATCTTTACAAATTTGGCTTGTTTACAAAGCTTTTCTCTCTTTAAGTATATACTATTGCAAAAAGTTGTCTCTGGAATATTCTTATTTTATTAGTACTCACTTGCAGTGCATGAGGTGTAAATTCATCTTATGCACTTAGCATGCCTTAGTTCTTTTTATTACCCTGCTTCCCTCCACCTGCCTCCCTCCCTCTGGCTCTAGATTTCCTTTCACTGTTTTCATTTCTGTTGTTAGGCTTTTTCAGTTCATGTTTGCAGCGCATTATGATTACATTCATTGTGGTCCCTGGAGCATATGTGTGACACACCCTGAATCTTTTTATGTCCCCTCCTCCCCCTCACTCTTGGTCTCTTGCAGAGGACCTGTGTCCCTAGCCCTTTAGCAGTCTTTTATTTTGTCCTCTCTTTGTACTTTGCATTACTCACATGAGAGAGACTGTACATTTAAGCTTGTGTGCCTGATTTATTTCAGTTAATAGAATGTTTTCAAAGTGTATTCACTTTCCTACAAATGTCTTCTTTTCAGCCAAGTGATATTCCACTATGTGTAGATACCACATTTTCTTTATGCATTCTTCTGTTGATGGATATATAGGCTGCTTCCAGGATTTTAACTATTATGAATTGTGCTGCTATAAACTGGTATGCATGTATCACTATAGTATGATGTCTTTAGTTCTTTTGGGAGTATATCTAGAAAGGGACTAGCTATGTCAAATAGAATTTCTACTTTTAGTTTTTCTGCGAAACCTCCATACCGATTTTCATAATGATTGTAAAAGGGATCTGTCTACATTATTGGTGGGAATATCAACTTGTTCAACCATTATATCCCTGGGATATACTAAAAGTTTGTTTGTAGATACATTTGTAATTCTGACTGCTTGAACTAAATGAGATGAGTAGTATGCTTGCCTATGACATATTATCTTTAGGCTATTAGCTTTACAATCAGGTTCAATTGCAAATAATAGTTTTCTTATGGCAATTACTGTTATTATAGTCAATATAATGTCAAGTGTTGATGAAGCAATTTTACCATAACCAACTTTACCTTCTGATTCTTCCAAACATGAAATTTTGCAGTTCTTAATGCTCTTTAATTATTTCCTACATTTTATTATCCAATTTACTTTTCCATTAGTTAATTGCTATTCCATATTGTCCTGAATGTAAATAGTCCAACATGAGAAAATCAGTTTGATGAAAAACAACTATGGGGGACTAGTATCCAGAATCTATAAAGAACTTTCACAACTCAACATTAAAGAGAAAAATTAATCTAATTTTAATATGGGCAAAGGATTTGAAGCAATATTTCTCCAAAGAAGATAGAAATATGGCCAATAAGCACATGAAAAACACGTTCAACACAATTGGTTTTTAGGGAAATGTAAATCAAGTCACAATGAAGAATTGCTTCATACCTATTAGGATGACTAAAATACAAAAGTTACTAGTAGAATTAGCAAAGAATCGAGGAAGTGGAATTGTCATCAAGGACTGGAAAGGTAAAAGGTTGACAGCTGCTTCAGAAAACTTTTGACAGTTCTACACAAAACTTCTACGTGAATGTTCACAACAGTATTATTCATATTAGACAAGAAGTAGAAACAACCAAAATGTCTATCAGTAAATCAATAGGTAAATAAAATGTGGTATAGCCATATGATAAAATATTATTTAACTATAAAAAGGAATATGTGTTGAAACATGCTGTAATGAGAATGAACCTTGAAAATGTGCCAAGTGAAAGAAGCCAGACATAAAAGGCAGGAATATATTATATGGCTCAATTTTTATGAAATGCTCAGAATAGACAAATCCATGGATTAATGGTTCAAGAGGTATCTTAGTTAACTTTTATCTCATTACTGAGACAAAATACCCAACACCCAAGGTTAAAGGGGGAAGGGTTTATTTAGCCTACAGTTTGTAGAGGTGTCAGTCCATAGTTTGCTGACACCAAGGCAGGGTGGCACATGGCAGAGAAGAAACAGTTAGTGGTGGGCAGAAGGTAGCAAGGGACAACCACAGCTCTTTCTCTTCCTTCTGTCTTATCCAGGCTACTTAGGGTGAGTGGCACTCACTCCCTTAATCCTAGTGTCCTTGAGCCTAGTGTTGCACCATGAATCAACCCCAGTGTCACACACGCTAGGTCCAGCCACCTCTGAAAAAGCCCCACCCATGACTGCATGAGGCTTTGGAGGACATCTAAACACAAGCCATAACAGGAGGCAAAAAGGGAAAATGGAAAGATGCTATTAGTGGGTACTGGGCTTCTTTATTGAAGGAATGCGAGTGTTCTAGAAGTTATGGAGACGCTTAAAACACTTCATCTAGTCTAAAATACACTGAACTTGACACTTTAAAAGAATGAATTTTATGGGATGTAAATTATCTCCATAAATAACTAAAAAATAGGAGCTACCACTTTTTCTATAGTACATTAATACATGGATTTCTAGGAGTTCTGTGGGCACACGTGTATACATATTGTATATGTGTGTGCATTGACCATAATATGATGCTATATAATATGATAATGTTTCATTGTGTAGGCAGTATAATGTAGTGGTATATTTTGGTTCCAAATTCTTATTTATTAGTAAAAATTAGGGCTGGGGATTTAGCTCAGCAGTGCTGCGCCTGCCTCGCAAGCTCAAGGTCCCAAGTTCGATCCCTGGTACCAAAAATAAAAAAAAAACTTAATGGAAACCTTAGTGAAATAAAGTTATATGTTACTTAACAATACATTCTGAGAAAGGTGTCCTCGTGTGATTTCATTATTGTGTGAACTTTATAGAGTGTATGTACACAAACTAAGTCATAACACCACTGGGTGGTACAAGCCTTGTGTGACCACCTTCCTACATGTATGTGGTCTGTTATTGACTCAGGTGTCGTTGGACAGTGCATGACTGTACTTCTGAAATGACCTTGTGCCTTTACTAAAGGATACATCTTTATATCTGTGGAAATTACTATTATAGATGATTATATTATAAATTGTTACTTTTCTTTTCTAGGATTTCCTAAGAAGATAACCATGAAGCAGTGTTACCGTCTACTTGGAAATAGTCTCAATGTGCATGTAGTAGCTAAACTAATCAAAATCCTATATGAATAAGTTTGAAATAACTCTGAAAGATGTTTGTGGTATTCCTTCATGTCCAGATAGTAATTCTGAAATTCTATTTTGAATTAACTCTGATGAAATCCATCTAAAGTATTTTAGTCTTTCTTTAATAGGAAATTTAGATAGTATCACAAAATTGTAAATTTGTTTTCTTAAATTTATATTCCTGTATTTTTATAAAGTGAAAGTTACTATTTTTGTCTTACAGAGAATGTATTTTTATATGAAACAAGTATGCATGGAATATTATCTTTATATGTAATGTGGTATAAACAAATTTGGGAACATTCAAATATTAATGTCTATGTGAATATTTTAAAAAGTATCATATAAGCTGTAGCAGTGAACCTTCAAAATACAAAGTTATTTCATATGTTAATTTCAGAAGTTGTCTTACGAATCTTACAATTTTACTTTTTTGTTACATAATCACTCTTAAAATGCTTGTTTTTATTCCAGCCTGTTTCAAATACTGTTTTACTTAGTCCTTTGAGTGTTATTTAATCTGAAGAAATACCTGTAACATTTTAAACCAACTGTCATCGTTTAACATGCAGCAGTATAAAGAATATATGAGAAAAATAGTCCTAAATTCTTCATTATCTCTCCATCAGGAGCCCCAGAAAATGCAGGTGTGCGCTCTCTGCTTATCTTTCCTTCAGTCTCCATTTGAAGGTCCAAGCTGACTGTCTCTTCTTCCCCTGTGCCTACTTTGCCATGATCAGAACTTGGTTTTACTTTCTTTCTCCAATTTTGGATTACATTTTCCATCACATTCTAAGGAATTTAGTTAGATTTTAGGGAGGAAATTGTCTTCTGACCCCATTCTATATGCCAATTCTTACCCCCTCTCTAATTTGTTTTATTGTAGTAACATATTCTGAGAACTTTTATAATGTCTAACTTTCTTCATCTCTCCTTGTCAGAACACTTTTTCCTTTCTGGTGTTTTGAAGTAGGGTCTCTGTATCTCAGGTTGGCCTTGAATTCACTGTAGTGAACTTGCAGTGATCCACCTGCCGCAGTCCCTAGAGAGCTAAGATTACAGGCATGTACACCACACCTGCATGAGAAGACATTTTGGAATGAAAGTCTGATTAGACTGAGTCTTGTGTCATCGATCCTATGGTTTTGATTTCAGTGAAAAGAGGAAGTGTCAAGATAAATGAGAAGACGCAAGAGCAGAAATTATAGCACAATATTTTCCTTCATACTTTGTACTTAAAAAACAATCATTCCTGTGTGGAGAAACTGGAATCTTCTGTGTTGCTGGCGGGAACATAAAATGGCATAGCTGCTGTATACAACAGCTGGAGCTTCCTCCAAAAGTAAATGTAGAATTATATGATCCAGCAGTTCTACTTCCAGGTATATACCCCAAAGAACTGAAAGCAAGAACTGGGACAGAAATGGGTACATGAGTGTTTGTAACAGCATCATTCACAGTAGCCAAGAGGTAGAAGCAAGCCAGTGTCCCTCCCTTCAACAGGTGAAAAAACCTGTGGTGCAAACATGCAATAGAATAGTATTTGGCATTAAAAAGAAGTGAGATTATAGCACAGGCCCTGTCCTGGGTGATCACTGGTACATTATGCTAAATGAATAAAAATACAAATATTGTATATGTAATTCCATTTATAGGAGGTACGTAGGAGACTCAAGTTCATAGAGACTATAGGATTATGTTCGCCGGGGATTGGGAGGAAGGTGAATTTGGAGTTAGTGTACATTAGTACAGAGTTTCTATTTGAGGTGATGAAAAGGTGGAGATGGATGGTAGTGATGGTTGAACAACAGTGTGGATGTACTTAATGCACCCGAAAATACCTGAAATGGAAAAGTTTACATTATGCATATTTTGCTTCGATTTAAAGAAATCATATTGTACTGTAATTTTTTCAGAACTCCTAGGTAAACATGGACATAGGGGAGCTGTAGGCCAGTACAGATGCATCAGCTGTCATTGCCTGCGTTTTGTGTATATGTCCAAAGATAAACCTTATTACAAGCCTCACAAATGTTACTATACAACCTGAAAGCATTTAGTACACTTCCACGTTGGTACTCTTCACTGCTGAAAGTTTATCAATAAAGTGGCTTATAGTTTAACTATAATTAACTGATAATAATTATGCTGTAAGTACAGTGTCTGATATCCTACTGAGCAATATTAGATAAAATATTCAGATACAGTGTACAACCACAAGCACTTGAAAGGTCTATGAAGACATTTGCTTTCACATTGAAAGTCTAGCTTTGTGCAATTTTAAAATCGTTCATGTGTTTCTTCACAGAAAGGTGCTGATTCTTGCCCTTAACTGATTGTTGAAAATATACCATAGCAAACATAATGCACAGCTTAATAAAAATATGGTTACCAGTGTTGTTTAATTACCAGATGTATATATAAATGCATAATTTGAAAGATGTCACTTTATTGAATGCTACATGCTATTGGCAATGAATATACATAAAATTTGCACTGGAAATTCTGTTTTCTGGTATTTGTACTTACACATTATTCAACATGTTGGAAAATACAGCCTCTGTTTTTGAAGAGAACTATGTGTAATTAAATCTTTGCCACTCTTAATAGTACATTGATTTTTTCATTCTTTTTTGCATCACTCTTGCTCTTTTAAAGAGGTTGTTAGAAAATCCTTTTGTAGTTATTACCTTGTCTCATAAGTTCAGCATATTTTAAGGACCCCAAACCAAGAGATGAAAATTATTAAATAAAGTAATACAAACAAAATGAGCTATATATTGGGAAGTGATTTTGAAGGGGAGTAGGAAGTCAGCATAGGAGTCAGAGCCTGACTAGCTTTAGTGGCAGACTGTGGCAGAGGGAACCATGGGATCAGCTGAGGACCCTGAGTATGAGTTCTGGTTATTAAGTCAGACTGCAGGTCCAGCGGTGCCCTGTGCATTGATGACCACCAGCCATCTTGCTGTTCCTCAACATCGAGAGCCTTTTAAAGAGAAAGTGCCAGTAGTTGAAATTATAAACAGTAAGGAGCTACCCAGCATTTTTTTCTTTAATTTGAGGATAAACTGTTCCTTGAATTGACCCAACCTTTTCAAGAAGTGAACTTACTTGGTAGAGAAGTTTTCAAGTGCCCGCCCGGACAAGCTGCATCACGACCCTCTTGGATGTAAAGACAGACGGTGTTAGAAGCAAGTGCAGCAGTTCAGCCCATAGGCAGGGCATAGGATTCTGAACAGAACTGCTGCCTTGGCCTTATGATTCATCTTCTTTCAGATCAAGAGTGATTAAGTTGGAGGTTTCTGAGCAGGGAGAAAGAAGCTAAGGACAAATGGAACTGGTTTAACTCTAGCTATAGCAGTACAGAATAAAGCAGTAGCTGCATTTTATCCTACACCAAGCATTTACTACAGTATGCATTCTGCAGGCCAATTATCATATCTCTATCCAAATTCAAGTCATCTGGTTATTCATTTGTTTCGATAACTTTATAATTTAGATCATTTATAATTTAGAATCAAGAGGTTCTCAGATAAACCAAGATAACAAAATAGGTCCCTAATGTTAAGCCCATAATGACAAAGCTGTTGAATTGTGCTTTGGACTGCTCTTGTTGAACAGAAGCTTAGTTTTGGCACAGCGTATGACTTAGTAGTAGAGGGTGCTTTGCATGCTCATGGCCCTTGTTTCAAAACCTAGGACGACCCCCTCCCAAAGGTGTGGTGGGGTCTTCAACTGCTACTGTAAGCCTCCAGTCACTATACTGCTTTACTCCTAGTCTTGGACCTTGAGACTGAGTGAGGGTCATATTGTGTCGCAGCTTTCTCAGAGCCTGTGATTCAACTCAGATTGTCTACTTTTTAACACATGGCCTTTGGACTTCACTCTTCTACTTCATTTTCTCAACCTTTCCTGCCCAAGTGCACGACGTACAACCATCTTACGGATTTCTTGTCCAAGTACCTTTCCTGGTCCTTTCTTTCTTCACTGTACTCACTAAGATATCTAGTTACACCTATAGTTCATTTGAGTGTATCCCTCTGCATATTGTAGCAAAGTGAGAATTTTGCATGTGTTCTCAAATTTCAGATTATACCAGTCAACCTATTTACACCATTTTCCTTCTTCTCATGCCTTCTCTTTGATTTAAAAAAGTTTCAATTCAAAGAAAAAACTTTTTCCTAACTTCTCTGTTTCCCTCTTAAAGACTTTTAGGAACATTTTACTTAAGATCATACCCGCTTCAAAATCTTATATAAGCTTGATGTAAACTACATCACCACTTGTATCTTAGTTTGTGAGTTTATTTCTTTTTAAATATATTTGTTCAAGAAATAAAGTCATGTGCAAAAAACTGTTTTGGCTTCTTATTTCTCATGTTCTCAAGATAAATTCATTTTATGTTTACTACAAGTTTTGAGTTACTTTCAACCACACCTAAGTATATCATGTCCTCTCCAGTATATCATGGTTCATTCCTAACTTTCAAAATTGTGTTTGTTCTATAAATAGAAAATGTAGAAGTTAGTTTCTCCATAGAATTCTGTTCTTTATAACCTTAGGATGTTCTCATTGCTTTGCTTATACATAGCTTGGTTCCGTTGTTTACTTCAAGTATTTGCTCTATTGAGTCTGCATTTTTGCATCTATTCATATCAAGGCAGATGGAAATTATACGTATAGACAGTTGTTTAGTCAGGGTGGCTCTATAATCAGATGAGATCACCTGGAGAAAGGGAGAGAGAAGAGAAGGAGGGATGGGTGTGGGCTGAGCTCAACTGTTGCTGAAGATTCAGTCCTGCTGTCTGTCCTTGACTGTCCCAGCTATTTTTCTCAGGGCTTTTCCTTCAACCTTACTCTTTGGCTGACTCCTCATCTTCCTGCTGGGACATTTTCAACTTGGATAGTCTGCTGTCACATCAAATTTAGCATGCTCAAAAATTAAACACCCTCTTCTAAAATCAATTCCACTCCTGGTTTCAATATTTTCTCTCCCAAATCCAAACCCATAACCCAAGATCTTAACTTCTTTCCCATTCTGTTTCATTAGCAGCTTCTCTCATTAAGCCTTCTGTTAATGGATCTCAGCCTTTTGATTTTAAACGAGTGTGAATGCCATTTTTATAAAAACTAATAGTTCATTTAGATCCCCAAGTACAGTTAAAGTTCACACGTGAAAAAAATGATTGAAAACAGCTGTTGGAATGTGATATTCCTTGTGTAGCAGATGTAAGTTGAGTTTGATATTTGTGAGCTGATCTAATGAATGAATGGACAATCGGCTAGAAAGTGGCTCTGATTCGAGTTGGTTTTAAATGAAAAATATGTTGCTTTAGAGAATGTAAAGTTCCACAGGGCAAAGATTTTTTTAACACCCTTTTTCACCACTACATTTTCAGTGCTAAAACAAGAGCAGGCGCATTGTATCACTCAATAAATGTTTGTTGAATGAATGAATATAGTGATTGTACTGGAATCGATATGAGGATATATAGAACGCAAAGCACTGGAGTTTACATGGTGACTTAATGTCACTTCCCTGAGAACTATGTAATTTCTCTATTACTGCCACTTTCATACTCAGAGGAATAACTGAATTTACCCATGTCTGGAACACAGGATTTAAAAAATAATTCTTGTAGGGTAGGCTTGAGCTATTGGCTTTTTGGTCAGTTGTACAGGTAGAAAAATTTTAAATACTGTGTTCTGACTTCTTGTTTTGACAGAAAGCAGACTTATTTCTCCTTACTTTTCCCTAAATACAGTGATAAACACTGGGGAAGTATAATCATACAATAACGCAAGAGGTGTCAGAAAAATTGCAAGATGGGAACAGAAACACGAACTGGCTCGGGACCCCAAGGCTGAATGGACAACATAGTTGCGATACATCTTTTGATTCCTCCACTAATAGGAATGTGACCCAGGCTTGATGTTTTCCAAACACAATCTAGCAATGAGGCACTCAGGCCAGTGTGGCTCATTCCTAACTAGACAGAACTTAATCTTGCTGATAATACCAGGAGAGTCTGGCTCCACCAGCAGGGGCAAGGTATCAGAAGACCCACCTGCAGAACTCCAGAGGAAGCCCTTTACTAATCTGTCATAGCTGAGATTCCTCTCACCTGCCGAGGGAGGAGACGCTGGTGGGTGGGAGTTGAGGAGCTGGCAGCAATGCCTGGCCTAGGAAGTCTGTCCATCACCCTGTGCTAGAGATGTGCTTCTCTCAGAGGGACCAGATGGTCTGGGGAAAATTCTGCCCTTTCCAATTACTGATAGAGGAACCAGGTAGCAACGTGGAATTAGACTTGTGTGAAATACAAAGGCAGAGGTGCCTAATTTTATTTATGTATTTCATATGATTGTAGCTGAGGGAAATTATTAAATGGGAATAAAATAATACCTAGCAATTATGTTAGAGTAGTTTTATTTTACTTTCTTAAGTTTATATTTGAAAACTTGTAAAGGCAGGTGTGGTGGTGTATGCCTGTAATCCCAGCAGTCAAGAGGCCAAGGCAGGGAGATTTTGCCGTGAGTTTGAGGCCAACCTGGGCTACGTAGTTCAAGGCCATCTGAAGGTCTCAAAAATATGATATAGTTCCATTACTTTTATAATTAAAAATATTCTCAGGGGCCGGGATTTAGCTCAGTGGCACCGCACCTGCCTTGCAAGCCCAAGGTCCTGAGTACGAGTCCCAGTACCGAAAAAAAATCAAATAAATAAATTAAAAAGTAATAATAATTAAAAATATTTTCCTTCAAAACACTCTACTTGAAGACTCTGTCATTGAGTGTGATTACTGGAAACTAGTTTTAAAGTTGCTACCTCATTTATATTCTGATGGCGTGTAATACAATCTCCTCCTCAGGTTTTTCCCTTCCAGAACAGAGGCTAGAGTTTACTCAGTTCTGTACCCTCAGCATCTCTGGTATCTGAGGTATTAGTGGATACCTAATAAATGATTGTCGATTAAATGATGAATGTGAGTATGTTGAGCATCATAATAGAACTGTAGGTTCTTTCATGGCTTGGGAGTTGTTTGAATAATTCTATTAGTCAACTAAAAAGAGAAGCACATCTGATGTTACTGGAAAAGTATACAATGCCAGAATTGTTTCTGCTAGGGAATTGTTTTTGCTTCTTCTAAACATAGTCTAGGAATTGTTGACGAGGGGATATTTAGCAGTACTTCTGTAATAAATACAGTCCAAGCCACTATAAAGAAAACATACACAGGACCAGAAGATCTTAGAATAATAAGAAAGATTGAGAGGTGAGGTCATCTTGTCATTCTTCGTGCCCTTGATAACAGCATCTTAAATCTTCCCTCAGATCTGTGTGGCACTTAATAGCAAATCTCCTGGGAAGGGTGGCCCTCTGGAAGGTGTTAGCCTTTTGTTATTCCTCCCATCCTAAATCACGTCAGCAAAGCAAAGCCTCCCCTCACAAAAAATGATGCCTCTGTACTACGTCTATTTGTGTGTTCCTAATTGAAAGTACAAGAAACAGAGCTCGGAAGAGTTCCAAGTCTCCCCAGACTTTTCTTTCTTTCCTTCCCAGTGGTGACACTCTCACTTCATGTACTTTCCTCCTTTCATCAGACATAAAATAGACTTGTCAAAATCACATTTCCTCCTTCCAAAGGAGGAAATGTAAGGAGCTTGCAGTTGCACTTCTATAACCCTTCACCCTGGGCACCTTGGATTATGGTATGAATGTCTAACAGCACTTCATTGCCTTGTTCAGTGAATTTTAGGAGCCACCAGACAGAAAACTTTTTTGTCTTTTTTTATGTAGATTTGGAAAGGGATGTCAGGAGAGCCCATGGTCCTCAACAAAGGTAACTTGCTTCACTGCACCGTCAGGAAATCGAGCTTGAACAGATCCAGTGGAAGTCTTGAAGTCCCACTTCCAGGAGGTATGGGAGGTAGAATGCTGTGTTATTTCCCTCCCTGACTTCTTTAGTCTTTAATTCTAGGAATCTGTTTCCTTTGTTGTGTTCCCTGTCCTTAACCCAGTCTTGTCTCACAATGATCCAAGATCATACCATACGTATTTTATATTTTCTGCACTGTGTGACATTCACACAAATTAGTAATATTTAGTAAATGTGTGTGCACGCATGTGTATATGTACATATACCATCAGCACCCCTGTGTTCCTGCTGAAACCTTCTCCCTCACTTCATTTCTTCTCTGGATATGAATTTGCTGATCATATTGTTACCGTTTATGGAAGTATTATTATACTTTAAGTTTAAAAAAAAATCCTCCAAACTCTCAGCAATGTGTAACAATCTACTTTCTCAGGAAAACTCTTGCCAAATCTGAGTTACTCAAGTGGTAATGATCAACTCATAATTCTTTTTCATGCTACTCAATGGTAATTGTAATCATTGTAGTAACGAGCATGGAGAACAAATGCCAGCATTGTGTTCCACGATTCGAAACCACACAGCATTCAAGAAAATCAGTTCATTGCAGGAGCAGACTTGCAATTTCCTAGGTGGTAGTGCACTTCCCATGAAGTGAGCAAATGAATGGCTTTAAAGTTACATGCATTTCCATAAGTACTTTATCCTCCAAGGATAAAATGAAGTAATCCTTCAGGAAAAAATGAATAGACTATTGGAGTGATATTGTTGCCCTGAATGAGTTAAGTGCCATAAAGGTTCAAAGAGATTATTATATTCGCAAATGTTTCCATTAATGACTAAAAGCCAGATTAATTCTAAGTATTCTGTTTTAAACTGATATGAAAATGAAAAGGGACTAAAGAAAGCACCAAAGCATAGCAGAGTGAAGCTATAAAATGTTATGAGAGCTACCAGAGGGATATGAGAATCTTGCCAACTCGTCCATCGAAGGGAGCTCTCCACCTCCACTCTTGCTCTTCATTTTCATGACTTCAAACTGATAAAAGTTTCTGGCCTGCCAGAAATATCAAATATGGATTATTGCATTTAAACTACATGAGAGTCTCCCTATTATATCAATAGGTTTAATCAACATTCTTCAACCTGCTACCTAAAGCCTTTTATCAGTGTCCTCACCTTTACCCAACACTTTTTGGTAAGATGACTCTGCTGGCCTCCTGGAACATTGCTGTCGTCCTCTGCTCATCCTGGCCTTTGGACATCTTTTCCATTCTGCCCCATATCAAGCCCATTTTGATAATGCTGCTTCACTACAACTCTGGATTTGCCCCATGTGACTTTATTACGAACCAGAGAAGGCCAGGAAGTGGATGTATTTTGAACTTACCTCACTGTTGAGGACTTCATATATTAGCAATAAATGTTTATTAAGACTATAAACCAGTGGAATTTAGATGACACTAATAGGGATAAAAAGTGAACCTGGTACTTAGAGTATAAAAATAGTAGGTATAGGTAATATATTAATGTGGCTAAGAGGTAATTTTCAAGAATTTAGGGAAAAAGAAAACAAGGGAGTTACATAAAATCTGCATACCTAGTAATTAAATCTAAGGCAAACTTTCTTGATTCAGGAAGAAAGATTGGAGACTTTTTTCCTGGAGAAAGTAAATACCATAAAGGAAAATTACCCTCAAAAATTAACATCAGGGGTTCCTCAGTGAAACTGTCAGCTTGCTGTTCAGTCACCCTATGCTAAACCTTATTAATTATAAACAATACCCATGCACATAGTGCTTCTTATCTGTTCTTTAGTGTCTTGTTCTTACGTTTAAATGCAGACATAAAGATCCGTGAGTATTTGAGGAAAGCACCCAATATGAAATAGAAAGATCTAACAAGCAAAAGAAAAAAAACTTCAAAAAGTAATGGTAGTATGTTTACCTTGATGGAAAATGTTACAACTATGAAACAAGAACAAGAAAGAGGTTTTGAAATTGAAAATGATAGCAAAAATTTTATAGTGTCATAAAATTTTAAAGGATACTTTCTCATAAAATAGAACAAAAGACAACCATGAAGTAGAAAATTATAAAAATTTGAAGATAAATCTAAGGGGGAATAAAGGGGAAAACAGATACAGTAGCAGATACCCCTGGACTCCCCTCCTGAGTCGTCAGTACCTGGGTCATTTCATGAGCATAGGTCCCCTGAACATTCTCTTATTTAGTTAATGACATCTCGCGCCTTCCAGTTTCTCAAGTAAGAAACCTGATCATTAACTCCCCCTTCTACTGTTTCCAAGGAAATAGTAACGCCCCAGTAATTTTTTAGTAGGTCCTGTTTCCTAAACACCATTCTCACCATCTCCTGTCGGCCTGGCCTGCCCACTCCCTTTACCAGATCATGTATCTCTCCTGCTGACTCTGGGTCCCAGACTTGTCTCCTCAGGGCTGCTCATAAAACACAGCCATGACCATGTTAATCTCTGTTCCAAAAGTCTATATAATTCTCTAAAATCTAAACTCATTAAAATGACATTTCAAGATCTTCCTCAATCTGACTTTCTGCCCATTTAAAAACAATTCATCTTTCGCATACAGATACTGCTGTAGCCCTCTCTTTTCTACCACAAAGCGGTGTATATTTGATTTCTCTGCCTGAAACTTTCAGTCCCCTTGCTGGCAAATTACTCCATTGAAACTCAGATGGACTCCTGGTGAGGCCTACACCGCTCTGCCCAGGCAGAGTTAACTCTTTCTTGCATTGTTTCTCAATAAATTGTGTGTATTTTTGTGTGTATGTGTATTTGTGTGCTGTCTACTTATCAGTGTTTTCAGTACAGTGATCACTTTACCTCACATGGAATTCCAGTTTCCTGAGATTTACTTTCATGAATATTTTTGATGACCATAAGAATTTTCATGTGTGAACTGTGCCGGATATTAGTACAAAGGTGGGGCAGGGTGAGATTGAAAGTTTAGCATATAAAAGGAGATGAAGTGGATGGCACAGAAGAGGTGGACATTACACCAAGATACTGTGGAAAAAAACTAAAGGCAGGAGAAGAAAGGTAACTTTGATTCTTGTAACTGCATTCTAGTGGCTTGGGAAGGAGGGGGGAAAGGATCTATAAAAAAGACTGTGAAACCAGGGTGAAGGAAGGAGGAGAAAGAGAGGTCAGGAGACAGGATTGAGACAAGTAAGAGGTCATGAATTCCTGATTAGTAATACACAGACCATTCAGCTGGAGACACAGGTCCAACCCTCGTTGCATAGCCCATGTGTAATGTCTGCAACAAAGCAGCCATGCACTTGTTTTGGAAGTGTGAAAATGTGAAGGCTGGTGAGAGGATACAAGAGTGTGACAGGTACCATAGCAACCTTAAGAGTGTGTAGAAAATCCATTGGTCTTATAGCATTAGTGTTAGTCCTTGATAGTCTTATTTTAATGAACATAAAAATGTGGAGAGGTGTCTCGGAGGGGAGTCCTTATACTTGGTTCCCTGTCCCAGGCTCGGATGCTCCTACTACATCAAAACCTTCTTCATCCTTTTACTTGGCTCCCCTCCCAAAGAAGAGACTCTTTCCTTTGGATTACCTGCTCTTGGAGACTTGGATTTAAATCTAATCTTGCTCTCCACCCCCTCAATGCAGAATTATTCTTTGCTTCCTGGATTCACCTTCCTTTATCAGACGTAAATTACCTTTGATTCAAATCTCTACCTCCAGGCTAGCTACCATTTTTCTCCCTCAAAGTCTTGAATGCATGGTTGCACTCTGGAATCCTCTTTTATAAGAAAAGAGATAAAACACCCCTATTCTCCTTGACACTCAAATTCTAAGGTAACTATGAAATCTTATTTAATTTTGGGGAGAGGGGGACCATAATGAACCTAATCCCAAGACAGAGTAAAGGAGGGCAAGGGATACATTATACTTATTTACATTACAAGAAAAATGTCAGCTTATATTTACTGATACTTGTTATGAGCCAGAGACTAAATATGCTGAACATTTTATACACCTTAATTGCTGTTAATATCTTTCTGTGATGAAGAAACAAGGTTACATGGTCACATAGCGTGGAGCTGGATTTTGGACTCAGATGAATAAGCCTCAGAACCTAGGCTCTTCTGTCCTTCAGCCATGTGGTCTTCCCTAGAAGTGAGCCTTGTTAGAGCAGCTATCATCTCCTACAATGGCTAAAGCATAAAGGGCGTATACCCACATTTAGTGGAATGCATTCTGGATTAGGGAGAAGATAGGAGTTTTGCTAGTTAATGAAAGATGGAATTTTAGGCATGTAGAATGTTTACCTTGGGGGAGAGGGAGAGAGGAACTTAGCCTCAAAGCCTGAAGGTCATGTGTTGTAATACTAATTTGTCTTTGCTGAACAGACCTGAATTCAGCAAGGAAACAGAATGCCTGATAATGCTGTGGAAACAATAATTGATTTTTGTGTTGCTTCCACAGTCATCATATACAGACAGCCTGACTTGTCTGTTGATCTGAGCTAAAATTGAATAAGTGAGCAGGGTGTCAAATTCCCTGACTCCTCACCAAAAGTCAGCCAGACCTTGGGAGAATATTTCTGTTTTTCTAACATAAGAGACCATTAGGAATTGTGTGCCTAGATTGGAAGCAGAGAAATTATTTTTACTTTCTTGAATAACAAACACATTCATAAAACAAGAAAATCCTATAAAAGAGAAAGATCTTGCGGGAGATCTTTTATATTGCACTGGAAAGATTTGCTGAGTTCAGTGATCTGTAGGAAAATATAATTATGAATAGTTGTGTTCAAGCTCAGAGCATCTTATCTTTTCTACTGGAAGATTTTAATCCATCATATTTTACATTAAAACAGGAAAATATTTCACATCATCAAGCGTTCCCTTCACTCTCACACCTAGTTGCTAAGGTCTCAAACAAACCTGGATCATTGTGACAAATTTCATCTGTAATTATATAGAATCTGTTGGACATCTTTTCTTAGCATTTAATACCAACATTTGTAGTTTACAAAATTCTTAGGTATGAACACATTTACAAATGTATAAGAGAAATCATTTTAATCAGTTTTATTGAATGATAATTTATATCCAGCGAAGATCATCCGTTTTAATTGTGCAGTTTTGAAACATTCCTGTGGTCATGCACCCACCACCACAACCAAGATACAGAATATGTCCACCATTCTGCACGTTCCCTCAGGGCTCCTTGCAGTCAGTCCCTTCCCACTTCTGGCCTCAGACACCTCCTAATCTGTTTCCTAGCAATGCACCTTTGGGTTCTGTACACTCTACATTCACATGGACTCATCCAGTATGGAATCAGTCAGTGTGCAATCTTTTGCATCTCACTTATTTTAGTCCTTGAAAAATACTCTGAAGCAACTGAAGTGACATGCCACAGGTGGAGGGAAAAATATTTGCAGGATATATATCTGAAAGGACCCTAATTTTAGACTATATGAACTCTTGTACTAAGTAAAAACACCAATCCAATTTTTAAAGATCCACAAAAGGTTTGAATAGACAATTCATGAAAGAAAATGTCAAATATACACAAAAGATCCCTAATTTTTTTGAGTGAGTGTGTGTGTGTGTGTGTGGTGTATAGTATTGAGGATTCAATCTAGGGTCTTTGCACTATATCCCCAGACCTTTTTATTTTGCATTTCAAGACAAGGTCTTGCTAAGTTGCCTACGCTGAGCTGGAGCTTGTGATCCTCCTGCCTCAGCCCCCTCGAATAATAGGAACAACATTTTTAATCATTATAGAAATGTAAATTTAAAATTACAAGGAAATACTAGTGCACACCCACTAGAATTGGTAAAAATAAAAACATTCATCATACCAAGTGATGGAGAGGATGTGGAACAACTTAAACTTTCATACATTGTATAGAGATAGTCTTTGGAAAATAGTTTGATATTTTCTTCTAAAATTAAGACATATTTTCAATGTGTCTCAGCAATCTTATTCTTAGTATTTATGCAAAAGAAATGAAAACATATCCACACAAAAATCTGTTCAAAATGTTTGTAGTAGCTTTATTTATAATAGTTCCAAATTGGAAACAACTCAAGTGTTTGTTGACTAATGAATGCATAAGCAAAGGATGGAATGGATTGAAATACAACAAAATACTACACAGTAATAGGAAGGAATCAATTAATGATAAATACTACAGGATGAAGGATTCACAAAAGCATTATGGTGAGTGAAAGAACTATATACAAAAGACTATATAGGAGAAAATTGGAAGACTTAAAATATCAAATAAAAGCAGTGAATATCTGAGTATCACAGACAAGATATTATATGCTATGTTACCTGATCATCCTTATCTTCAAAAAGCCTGCATGACTATACAAATATTAACTAATATAATAGTGCTCACCAAGTTTTTCTTACAGTGGAGCTTGTATAGAGCTGTTTTTCAAATCCAGGCTTGTTTTCCTTAGCATGGTCTGTGTGTTCATGGAAAGCTGGAGTACATCAACAACTGATTTCACAATCAAGGTGTAGAACATTTCCATCATTCCTGAGTGTTCTCTACAACCCTATGTGGAATCTGTGGGGGACATCAATGGTCCATGCCTTCAAACCAGATTTTCCAGTTGGAAGAGTGCCCAGTGTGGAAGCTAGCGTATTCCACAGCCAGCCTACAGGGATGGGAAAAGTAAAGATTCCTGGAGCCAGAATAAGGGACTTCATGGACGTTAGCTTGGTGTTGCCAGTATTTTTCTTTTTTTCTTTCTTTCTTTTTTTTTTTCTCTAATGCCTGCCTCACTACATTGAATGTCAAGATAAATATTTCCATTTTGACACAGTTGTGCCAAATGCATTTCCCTCCATAATTTCTCCCTTTCTTCTTGGCCTTTTTAAATAAATTTTCTTTTTTTGTTGTTAAATTCTTTTAATGGTACATTGTAGGTATACAACACAATTACATTTCTCATTGGGAATTGTACCATTACATAATGCATCTTGGCTCTTATTTTTTCCCCATTCCTAGCCCTCCCTTCACCCCCTCCACCCTTCCCTATTTACAAAGACTTTATTTCCATTTTTTCCATTTCTCATCATTTTTCCTTTCCCTTCTTTCCTTTCCCCTGCCCCTCCCACTACCCCTACCCCTTTGGACCTTTTCTTCCTATTTTGCATTATCAATTATTCATTCTAATTATTGGTACATTTTAGGTATACAATATAATGACATTCATCATTGGAAATTTGCACCTTTACATATTCTCTCTTGGTTCTTATTTTTCACCCTTGCCCAGCCCTCCCTTCAACCCCTCCATTCCTCCCTATTTACAAAGATTTTGTTTCCATTTTTCCATTTTCTCATATTAATTCCATACCTTTCTTTCCTTTCCTCTACCTCTCCCACTTCCCCTTCCCCCCTTTTCTTCCTATTTCACATTATCTATTATACCTTTTAGTCCTTATTTACACTTTTAGTTTCTCACACCAGAGAAACTATTCGCTATTTATACATGTGTGTCCTATGTATTTCACTTGAGAGTATCGCCTCAATGTGCATCCACTTAGCTATAAATGTCTCTAATTTCTCATTTTTTATGGTTGAGTAGTACTCCATTTTATAAAAAAAAAAACCAAACTACATTTTGTTTATCCAGTCTCCAGTTAATGGCATTTGGGCTGTTTCCAAGTTTTAGTTATTACAAATTGTGCTGCTATGAACATGAGTACACATATATCACTGTGGTATGATTCTTTTAATTCTTTGGGAAAGATCCCCAGCAGGGGAATAGTGGGGTCAAATGGGACTTCCAGTCCTAGTTCTTTGAGGTATCTCCATACTGATTTCCACAGTGCTTGCACCAGTCTACACTCCCACCAGCAGTGGAGCAGGGTTCCTCTTTCCCCACAGCCCCGCCAGCATTTGTTATTGGTTGATTTCATGATAGCAGCCATTCTTTCTGGAGTGAGGTGGAATCTCAGCGTTGTTTTCATTTGCATCTCTCGAATGACCAGTGATGTTGAAGATTTTTTCATGTATTTATTTGCTATTTCTACTTCTTTGTGTGAGAAATGTCTGTTCATTTCAGATGCCCATTTTTGGATTGGGTCTTTAAATTTGGGAGGTCTGATCTTTTTAAGTTCTTTATGGATTCGAGATAGTAGACCTTTGTCTGAGGAACAGCAGGTGAAGAAATGTTGCTGCCTTAGAGAAGCTGACCTGGCCACTCACTATAAGAATGTCCTTTCTTCTCAGGCATTTTATGGCATAGCAACCTTTTACATTCCCCTCAACATTGATCATTACTTGAGCCTACCCTGCTCATTTCTTTTTTTATTTTTTTTGTTTGCTACTGGGGATTGAACTCCAGACCTTGCACTTGCGAGGCAGGTGGCAGAACCTCTGAGCTAAATCCCTGGCCTCTTGCTCATTTATTTCTTAAAATGTTTTCCCCCAGAATTCAAGCCCCTGGAAGACAAGGATATGTGTTTTTTTATTAATTGATGTGACACAATGCATAGCACAGCCTGGCACAAATCAGCTGTTCTAAAACTATAAACTAAGTGGAACCAGATACAACTAAATTTGAATAAATTAGATAGAAACTGATAGTAAACATACAAAGAAAGGAGTATAAATTAACCTCTAAATGCAAAATCCTCATCTGTTGTGAAGGTGAAATGATATAATCCATGTAAATTTCCACGCAAATCTCAGCAGGTAACAAGATCTCAAAGTTGCTACAGTTATGGGAGATGGGAATACATTACCTTGTTGTGGCAACACCAAAACCAGATCCAGGTCTTCTTTCATTCTGTCATTCCCCAAACTTTCTCTTTTCTTGTCTGAAAAATTATTTTCTTTCACTCAAATTTCTTGTAACTTCTCTCCCACATTTTCTAGTCACCTCCCAGGAATATAATGAATTTGAATCAAAACTATAGCTCTAATATCTTCCCTCTTTATTTTATTAATGTCTTAGGTTCTGAGAGTTTTAGAAAAGTTTTAATCCTGCTTTGTTTTCTAAGTTGAATAATGTAGTGTGACTGCATAACTTAATGGAAGAATGGAAACTTAGACTGACATATGAAAACAAATGTATTCAAACTAAAATATCATTTATTGCATTATATCTATTCATTAAACAAATACAACAAAACTCCTCATCACCTGACCTCAGAATCATCCCAAATAGTGACTTGAAAGTTATTTTCTTTGATTTGTTTATGTTGTACTATAGTGATCAAATGATAGTTGAGAAACAGTGTTACATTCCCCATAATATGAAACTGTACAGCTGTATTTAAGAAGATAAATTTACGTATCTACCATGTAAAACTTTAGATGGCATTTCAAATGTTGTTTTTACAGGTTGCCTCTCTGAATTTTTGAAACCAATCAATCTAGATGCAAATGTGTCTTTCTTTCCTTAAGATGGTTTTGGTAGCAAGCAATTCCCATTCTCTTTTCCTATATATGGCTTGTTTTTTTAAAAAAAAAATGAGGTGAAACATGTGTAACATAAAATTTACAGTTTCAATAAGTGCATCATATTGTTACTGTCCAGAATGCCTCTCATCTTTCCAAAGAGAAACTCTGTGCTCGATAAACAACGTGTCTCCCTTGTCCCTTACTCCTGCTCTCAGTGATCAGCGCTCTACTTTTTAATCTCTATGAATTTCACTATTCTAGCACCTCATCTAATTGGCATCTTATACAGTATTTTTCTTTTGTAAATGATTTATTTCACTTTAGCTTAATATCTTCATGGTTTCCACCATATTATAGCACACGTTAAAAGCTTCCTTCCCTTTTTAGTGCTAAAAAGATTCCATCGTATGTGTATTCCATACTTTAAAATCTATTAATCTGTTGTAGATAATGTGGGATGCTTCCAACTTTTGACTGTTGTAAAGAACGCTGCTATGAACATTGCTGTGTGGATATCTCTTTGAGTCTCTGCTTTCAATTCTTTTAGGTATAAATCCCAGGGTGAAATTGATGGATCATAAGTTAATTCTATATTTAATTTTGCGAGGAACTTTCATATTGTTTTCCATAGCAACTGTACCATTTTACATTCCAACCAGCAATGGACAAGGGTTTCAGTTTCTTTACATTCTTGTCAATAATGGAGTATTTTCTATTTTTTCTGTAGCAACCATCTTAATGTATATGAAGTGGTATCTCATTGTGGCTTTCAATTTTCTAATGATTAGTGATGCTGATAATCTGTATATCTTCTTTGGAGAAGTCATCTATTCAGGGCTTTTGATTATTTAAAAAAGTCTGATTCTTTAAGTTTGTTATTTTTGAGTTGTGAGAGTTCTTTCATATTCTGGATATTAAGCTCATCACATATATGATTTGCAACTATTTTCTTTAATTAGGCGAGTTACCTTCTAACATTACAGATAATGTGCTTTGATGCAGTTTTTAATTTTGATATAGACCATTCACCTTTTGCTTGCTGGTGCTTTTTTCTTTTGCTTCCTATGCTTTTGATATCAGACCCAGGAAATGACTGACAAATCCAAGATCATGGGATTTTCTCCATATTTTTTTCTCCAAAGAGTTTTATAGGTTTAAGTCTTAGATTTAGATCTTTGAATCATTTAGCAGTAACTTTTACATATGGTACAAGGTAAGGCTCCAGCTTCTTTTGCATGTGGATATTGTTTTTCCAGCAGCAGTTGTTGACAGCTGAGTGCTTCCTGAGGAAGGATTGTTTTAGAGGATGTTTCCAAAGCTGCTTGCTACTGTCTCAAAGGTCAAACAAGTAATGATTAAGTTATACATCACTTGAGGTAGATTTTGACCTCTCACGAGTTGAAGAGTACTGAAGATCTGAGATCATTTACATTCCTCAGGAAGAAAAAAATAACAGCCTTCTCAAAGAAGAAAAGACTGAAGTAGTCCACTGGTCAAAGTACACATTCTTGCTTTACTTTTCTCCAAACTCCCAAAGTCAGTGACTTCGTCGCAGTGGTCTCTCTCTTACCTGACCACGTAGGAGTCCAGTGAGGAATATGTCCTCACCTTTTCTTTGGAGTTTGGTTATTTTACTGATATTTGCAGAGTTTGATGGTGAAGCTGGAGAACTTGAGCTGCAACGACAAAAAAGAAATACTGATCTGCAACAGTAAGTAGACACCGAATCATTTTTTCCCCGATGGACTAGGATAACCCCTCATGAATTTTCACAGAGTCAGAAAATCAAAAGTGCAATTTTTCTTGAGAAAAGCAGTGATATCAGGAAGCCAATAGGGAAAAATATTTGGACTGATATATGGAATTACTTTCTTATGCAGAAATAATTCATCTATTCAAGTATGCAATTACTAAGAGATATCTCTGGGAAATTAAAAAAGAATGGTAGAAATGTAGAGAGAATTTGGTTGAGCTGATTACAAAGAGAAGATGTATATAGTCTATAGTAAATTCAGTGAAAAAGTTTGTTCAAGATTTAAAAATGTTTATGTACTAATTACTGCTGCATTTTCTCTGGTTGAATTATATAGGCCTCGGTTGACTTCAGAAAGGGGAAATTTAGTGTTTCTTACGGGGCCTACCCAAAACATTGAATTTAGAACTGGATCCCTGGGAAAAATAAAAATAAACGATGAAGACTTCAATGAGTTTTTACAGCAGGTATTGCATGGGGAATATCCTGATGTCATTTTGTATGTCCACATGTGACTTAACTGAACACCTCAATACTAATCTGTACTTGAATGTTTAGCACAGGCAGTAGGATAGTTTTTATAAAGAAAAATAACTTCGGAGGGGGCAATGGTGGGTGGAGGGAATAATGCTGTTAGAACAAGCTCATGGTGCTCGCCTTCTCTAGTACAGAGAAGATATGCAGGGTACTAATGAACTCGTCACAAGGGTGCTAAAGGAGGGGACGAGAGAGTGGCATGGTCAGTTTACTTTTTCTATAGAACAGAATTGGGCAATGAGTCTCAGGCCTTATTAATATTTTCAGTGCTCAGTGTATACTATATCATGCTCGTACATCAGCCCTGTTAGAGCTGGTGTCACAGGGCTTCCTAGCGGTCATGCACCATGCATAGTACTTGATGTCCATGGTCTCGTGTGACCCTCAGAGCTACCTGTGAGGTGGGCTTTATCACTTCATTTGTAAGGAAATAGTTAAGTGACTTGCTCAAAGACCACTATCAAGGGCTCACCCAAAATTTAAAATTTAGTAGTCTGATTTCAAGACAGAGTTCTTTTTTTGGAGGGGGGATATGTGCTGTGGATTGGACCCACGGCCTTGGGCATGTGGGCATGTGGTCATCACCGAGCTGCACCCCTGGCCCAGCAAGCTTCTTATAAGTGCCCCACACATTTAGTATGAGGAAAAAGTGCAAATAGAAAACATTGATCTATGAGGTGTGATTGTAAAATACAGTGAATGTTTATATTTTTAAAATTTTATTATAGTACAAGACACATTGGCTTTAATACCCCCTCAAAATGCTCCCTTTCCCTTTGAGCCCAGTTATCCACCATTCTTACCACTATCTGAAGCTGTTCAGGAAGTCCTCTTTTGTGAGTGTCTTTAATTGCACTGTCATGGCTGCTTCAAAGTCCTGAACTGATTCAAACCATTTCCCTTTCATGGTCATTTTGACTTTGGGGAGGAGCCAGAAGTTGCATGGTGCCAGATCTGTCATGTTTTTATGAGCATGCCTTTCTGTTGCCTGGCATTGGCAGGCCCAGTCAATGTAGTTTTTGATCAGACCACATAAAGACACTCATAAAAAGAGAGTTTTCAGAACTGCTTCTGAAAATGGCAAGAACATTGAGATGAATGTTTTCTAAATGAGGGAGGTTGATGGCAATGTGTCTTTCTCTGTAATAAGTTTTTAAAAATCTCACATCTTGTATTGTTACTGGAAAGGGTAAGTGGAATTATGCCATGGGTATTTTAGCCCAGTGTCTACTATACATGGCACTTACTTTGGATTTTTTAATAGGCAAATCTCAATTCTTAAAATAGAATCCTACTCTGGTTTTATATTATATTCTTGTAAAATGAGTGATTTTTTTCACTAGAATTATTATCCTTTTCCTTCTTCTTTTCTTTTAAAAATTAGATCAAGATAAACAAAGAAGAGATTATAGATTTAAAAAGAAATTTGGATGGTCTGCATCAAAATGTATCTAGTCAAATCTATCAGCTCAATTCCAAGGTAAGTCTGACACCCACATCATGAGAGCGAAGGAGTTCTCTTTAGTTCAATATTGTACATACTGTATTTTCAGGGGATACACCAATTTTGTATACTTTTTAGATATTAATCATTGTAATTATGGACTTCTAGTTAAAAGACATAACTCTAATGGAGGATATAAAAGGTAGGAAATACTATGACAAGGATTTGTTGTCTAAGCAGACTATTCTCCGGTTCTTATAGCAATCTTAGTGGTGAATGGGATTCATTGCTGTCATCTAGGAAGATTAGGAGAGTTACTGTGTGCAAAGGAAAAAACGAGTCAGCTTCTCAGTGGGTTGTACCACTTTTTAAAAGACCTTTAAAAAGAAATATATGTGGTAGAAGGAAATAGAAAGGAAAGAAAGTGTGGAAGGGAGAGGAATAAGCAAGGACAGGCAGTGAAAACAGGAACAAAAAGGGGGTCCCTACCAGGAAGCATTAGGAAAATAAATGCTGGGTGTAACATCATATATGTTATATGAAATATGATATATGAAATGCCTTTGGACCAGTTGACTGATGCTTTTTCTTCCTCATTATTAGCTTGTGGATCTTGAGAGAAGATTTCAAAGCTTACAGCAGGTAAGTCCTATGATGACCAGATATTAAGTAAAAATAAACAAGAATAGTTGATAGAGTCAACATTTTAAGGGCAGAGAGACTTGCTTTTTCCATAATTTATTTCCATGCATCCTGTGTAACATTAAGTTCAGAAGTCCGGAATGTATCACACTATTCCAGTCACGTTGACAGTCAAAATTAACCAACATAGTTCCTTTTCTGCACTTTGATAACAGTTCCCACTCAGTCTTCATCTTTTCAGGGACTACTTGAGAGTGAAAACAAACAAGGAACAGCGCTGTGAAACAGGACACAGGCTACGGTTTTCAGTTTCCTGCAGGGCTTCATGGTTTTTAGCAAAGAGCTGGAGAACATATACAAATGAGCTCGGACTGTCCTCCACCTCCATCCCTCAGGAAGAGTTTTTAATGATTTTCCAATGTGAATCCCTTTCAGCTTTAGGTCAGGGCTCTCTGACCACCAGACACTGCTAGTCCCTATTGTATTCCTCTGCTGATTCCATTGCCTGCTGGGCCCCAGAGGCTGTGGAGTTTTTAACCTCCTGACGGCCTTGCTCTTATACACAGAAAAACCTCTGATAGGTTTGTGTTGCATCTTTGTAATAGTGCCTTTTGATGGACAGAGCTCACTGTGGTACAGGAACCAAGTTAAACAAATTAAATAATGGCAGAAAACCGTCCATTGAAAGGCGTAAGTCTCCGGACTTGTGTTAAACGTAGAGGAAAAACGAGCTTTGTAATAAACGATAAAGAGACAGTCAGCTATTCTCTGGCTCTCAATTTCATCTGGAAAATGAAGAAAATGGACTCAATTCTTCTCTGTGATGAGAAAACAGGGAATTCGAGAAAATTCTCTAGTTAAACAGAGAATTCAACTGTAGGTAAAATTAATAAAATAATTTCACTGCGTGATTACTAGTCTCCTCTAAAGAACTTGCCTCTGCTGCCAAAGACTTAAAAATCTTATGAGCGCAGAACTGATAGCTGATGCAGGGAAAGATTTCTCCGTCTGTACAGACAAGGTCTGTTGGCTGCTCTGTGGGTCTGAAAGCGCTCAGGTGAGTGCAGCGGGTGGGGGTGTGTCTTAGCCGGCCACATTTTAAACAATGGGGCTTGGAGTGAAATGAGTTCAGTCCTTTTAACTCTTGAGAGGAGGGGTGGCAGCAAAAGATGATCACATTTCAAAGGGTTTTCTGGAGGTAGCAAAGATAAGAACAGGCAATTTCCAATTAATTTTTTTGGTGCTTAGGAAGGTCCATTATTAGTCCCACACCCGAACCTCGACTCTTTGTCTACTGGTGTATATTTTGCAGATGAATAATACTTTTTCCAAAGAGTAGAGAATTGCTCCCCTTGTATCCCATCCCATTCATGGTAAAAAGCACACAAAATGTTGAGGAATTTGAGTGACTGACAAGAAACACTTTTTATTCTTTCACAAGAGAATCGATTTGATGACAAGTCTAGAGGAAGACCCCCATGGATGCAGAGTCAAGTGAAATTCTCACCAGTACACGCAGCTGCACTGACTCCTGCCCTTCTTTGCTGCCCGTGGCAGGTACAGCTGTCTGACTGACCATCTGTCTTTGTTTCAGACAGTGGACAAAGACGTTTGCCGCAGCAATCCCTGCCGAAACGGTGGAACCTGCCACAATCTGCTTGATTCTTTTTTTTGTATCTGTCCCTCACAGTGGGAGGTGAGTCTCTTGGTCTTTGATTAAAAATAATGGTGAGTCAGAATGTGTGGTTTCCTTGGAATCCTCCCAGACTTATTTTATCTTCTGTCCAAAGTTACTAAGATTCTGTGGCCTCTGGAATCAGAACAGATCACACCATGTGTGCCAAAATCTAAATGATAGCAGGTTTGATTATATAACCCACTGAATACTAAGCCGTCATAAGTAGGAGTTCATCTCATTGGATAATACACGAAAGGGCGTGATATTTCTGTTAGCGTTAATTAAAATGTCCCCAGCAGGTACATTAACAAAAAATCGTTAAGTAAGAATTCCCAAGTACCGCACCACTGTGAAATGAGGATTCGTCTGTATTGGGAGTCTCCTCCTGAGGCTGCTATGAGCTTTTGAAGAGCTCCTTGGTTCTGTTAGGTTAAATCCGAGTTCCAGAGGAAGAGTAGCCAGAGATTAGCATTAGTGTGGTTGTATTTGGCTTTGCCAAGGGTTTATCTATATCATGCTAAGAACAGCCCCACATTCCTCTATGACTTGTGATACTTGACTCTGTTCTTTTTACAACTGCAGGATCCTCTGTGCTCAACTGATGTGAACGAATGTGTGATTTACTCTGGAACACTCCTGGGCTGCCAGAATGGAGCCACATGTGTGAACACAGTGGGGAGTTACAGGTAACCTTAAAAAAAGAAATCGGGTGCGTTTGTGAAGGACTAAAAGCACCCTAAATTAACAGTCCATGTTACCAGGAAAACCAGGTATTCCATCGGGAAAGACATGCCGCTTATTGAACATATACCTGTCTATGTTTACCTCGTGCCAGACATCAGCGAGCTCACAGTTTTAGTGAGCATAGCTTCATTCAATGCTATGTAAGAAAGTCGACCGAAAAAGATCAAAAGTTGAATGGAGGCTCAATGAATGAATTAACTCTCTCCATGCTTCTTCCATTAGTCACAAGGTCCCTGAGCCCAGTCCTCACGTTGCTATATCATTTCTTCTGATTCATTTTGTCAAATGGCTGTAGGACTCTCCTGCTAGCTGAGGCACCTCCTTCCCCCAGGAAACCTTTCCTTCCCCTGGGACTGAGTTGGGTATCACAGTGCTTCCATGTTCATGCTGAATTCTAGGAATACTGGTCATCAGAGCCATGCTGGCTCACTTTTTTTCCTGGCACTGAAGACTGAACCCAGGGCCTTCATGTTAAACTACACCCCAGTCCTTTATTACATTTTATTTTGAGACAGGGTCCTGCTAAGTCCCTAAGTTGCCCAGGCAGGGATTTAACTTGTGATCCTCCTGCCTCAGCCTCCCCAAGTGCTGAGATCACAGGTGTGCACCGCCATTCCAGGATTGCACTACCATACCAGGCTCACACATTACCTTTTTAATACTCAATGCCAGAAACGTATGGGAGATCATCATCGACTCTATTTGGGTATAGTTCCTTACGTTCATTTTTAAAACAATCTTGACATTACTTTCCCCATAATTTTGCTGGCTTTCTGTAATTCTGAAATTATTAAAGGATTAAGAAAGAGAAATTATTTGCTATCTTCCTATGTCTTTACTATCTTTTTCTTCATTTTCCTCATAACAATATCCATGCTGTTCTTTCCAGCAAATATGAGTGCAGTAATTTTGATTTTTTTGTTTGTTTAAAAAAATTTTTTTTTCTGGTACCAGGGATTGAACTCAGGACCTTGTGCTTGCCAGGCAGGTGTGGTGCCACTGAGCTCCATCCCTGGCCCAATAATTTTGTTTTTATTCCTGTCATCTGTTAACACATTATTTTTTCAGAAAGTAGTCACAATTTTTCTCTTTCCATGTGATCCTTTTGTTTGTTTGATCTGGTCTTTAAATATTTTGTTCATTCCAGGTTATAAACTTACTCATTTAAACTTCTGATAGATATGCTTATGAGATCAATCATTATTCAAAACCAAAGTTCAGCACATCTAGTTTAAGTTTAATACTGTGTTACTGAAGAGCTTTAGCGTGGTGCAGAATGAGCTGAGTGATATTAAGAATCAGAGCTCGGAAGGGACAGCCACTGAACTGTTTTAAGCACTTTTAGGAATTTCTCATTTGAATTATCCTTCTGCCCCTGCCTTTTTAAATATGCAGGCTTGGGCTAATCTTTCATTCCCTTGAAAGCATCATCTATTGATTTCTGTTTTATGGGCATTTGTCCAGGAGAATTTTTCCTTGGGGATATCAGTAGCAAATGTCTGGCCTCCTAACACTTGTACTTCTGACCCTCCCAGTATCTGGGAATGTCCTGGAGATGAGTCATCCCTGATTGTCCTTTATCATCACTTTAGTTTTGGTGTTGTGCATGATAAAGATATGCATGTAGGATGAGGTCCATCGGCCAAGCCAGCTGTTATTATTGTTTTCACCAGGTTATTTTTTTCTCTTCAAAATGGAAAAGAAGAACAAATAATCAAAAGTTTAAAAACTTGAACCTCACAACTGTTTTCTGCAGGCCAGGGTTTAGAGCTGATTGCCCAGATGCACATAGGAGAGGGAGAGGGAGACAGAAAGAGAGAAAGCCATCTTATTTGTTTAGAGCTGCATTTCTAAGTGGCAGCCTTAACTTTGCAAGAGCAGAACTGAATCTCTCTAGTACTGTCTTGTAATCAACAGCAACAACAAAAAGTACAAGGATTTCTTGTGCTGACTCTGGAAATAATTTTAGTTCCTAGTCCCTGCCCTTCCTAGATTTGCTGGAGGACACTAGAGAGCAGACCACTCGGATCTGGGTTCTTCCTTTGAAGTGGGAAGAGTTTATAAAGCCTCATGAATCTCTGTTAATTACCTGTGTCTTAACTACTCTAATTCAGGCATATGATGGTGACTCTTTGAAGGAATAAAAGAAAGTAGAAAAATGGGCTGAACATAAAATTTAATTCTTGCTTTGTGGAGCCTGTCTGTAATGAAACATTGAACATTTAGACAATTTCTTGAGTTCTATTAGTTATGCGAGGTTAAATCCTCGTTAATCAGTAGTTTTGCTGAGGTGAGTCACCTTTTGGGAAACTCCAACACACATTTGCTGAAGGAAAGCGTGAACAACTGCCAGATAATCTAGACTTGAAAAAACATAGTCATGGTGGGCAAAGTTGGCTTTGGATTTGGGGCGTCCTTCAGTTATTTTCCTCTTTCTTTCTTTTTCCTTTTTTTAACTCTTTGAGCCCACTTACCTGGGGAGAAAAATAAAGTCTTTATTTAACAGGAATAATAATTCATAACTGTAAAAAACCTTTGTAAAGCTAAAGCATTATGCAAATATTAATTAATTGGAAGCACTTTTCATAGACAAATTTTTGGTAAAAATTCTTTTTTTGGAGTAAGGACAGTAGAGGAGGAGAAAACATATTTCTACTAATTTTCTTTGGCTTCAAGTCTTGCTCACAACTTCTTCAGACAGTGAGCAGAATGATATTTTGCCATTTTAAATATTGTTATTGCTTCTTTATTCTAAAAAATTGATTCTTACTGTTTCCCTGCTTTGTAGTTATGTGCTTGGGGTTCATTCAGATCTAGAAGGCTTTCTAGGGGATAAATAGTTGCATTTGCTTGTGTGTTCTTCATGAATATGATGATGATTTTTATATTTCATTTTATTGGTTTGTATTCATATTACTGGTAGATTTTAAAACATGCTGAGCTTAAAGATGAGGAGAATCTGGTTTTAGCTCAGGTTAGGTATTCAACTTTAGATATTAAACTCATTATCTCCTTCTGTTAGTCAGGAGAGTGATAGCGAACCATGGACTCTAATGCAAGTTAAACTATGACCATGGAAGTATTTGAAGTCTCCTCAATTGCCAAATGCATTTGTAATGTTTTTAAAGTCTGAAAAGCCTAGATTTATTCTGCTGGCACCAGATCAGTAATAAAATATCATTACAGTAATGACTTCAGTAACTAAAGGGAAGGCACAAACAGTGGTAAGGGAGTTTTAAACTACATATATGGCTTTTACATTCACCGAGAAGGTATATAATTTTTTAGCCTTTTTAAAATGTCAACCAGTTTACCTTGAAAATATATTTGTGTGCAAATACTGTGATGTTAAAAAGACACACACAAATGCAAAGTTTTAATACTAACTTTACCTTTCGGAATATAGATATGTAACATGAAAAAATAATGGGGCTGAATGACATACTTAGATTTCCTTCATCTTCTATCAGTCATTAATTCCATGGCCGTGGGCTGTGTGTGTGTGAAATGGGATTAAAAACACTTGTCTTTGAGGATCACAGCAAGGAAACTAAAGTTTACCTGGCTTCCTTTCTCCTTCCTTCTTTCTTCTCACATTGTCTAAATTTAAATTTACCTTATCTACATTTATCTGGTAGCTGGTTAGAGAAGTGTATAGGAGTAATATCTACTCATCTCCAAGTGATAACAGGAAAGGAGATGGAAGACAGACATAAAGAGAGAGGATTTAAATATAGCTCCATGAACCAGAATCTCTTCTAAAATCTTGTCATTTTCTAACAGCTAAGTGTTTCATGACAAGATGAACACAATTTTCTGAGTACTTCCTACAGTGGAATGCCTGTAGAACACAAAATGAAAATAGTGCTCATGAATTAGTACGTTGTCTGAGATAAACAGATAATAGATTTGATCAGGATTTAAACCTGGGTCTTCTAGTCCCAGGGGTTCCTAAACACTTAGATCTCACACTAGAAAATAGACCTACTGATAATTGGTTTTAAGATTTAAAAAACGTTTTTAGAAAGTGTGTGGGGTGGTGTGGAAATAAATTTTGGCAATTAAACCAGCTGGATCAAATGTTGAAATATATGTATGAAATGTTCTAAAATTCTATAATACCAATGAGTTAAATTTTCTGTAAGACTATTTTAGATGAAGTAGACAGAGAGAGAGAGGGCGGGGGGGAGAAGAGGAAAGGGAATAGATCATGAGGGAAAGTTTAGAAAAAAAGAGATGAAGGGAAGATAAATAGCTATCAACAACTAAATTTCTCCTTAAGTTTCATCATTTATTGTTATTTACTTATGACCTTGTCTTAATGAGAAAAGCAATCTTTGAATGCTCAGAAATCAGAAATGTAATTTATCAGCAAAACAGGTTTTATATAAACATATAATGATATTGTAAATCATACTTGTGCCAAAATATTCATTTATCTGAAATTCAAATTTAACTGGCCACCCTATATTTTTATTTGCTAAGTCTGTTAGCCCTTCCTGTGAGTCCATGGATGCTGTTCACCATGGTCTTCCTCTCCATCTCTGGCCATATTTCTTGATTTCTTCTTCCCTAGAAACTACATAAAGATGTCACCTCAGCAGTTGCTTCTGGGGCTCACCATGGCACCACATGTTGCATGCTCAGTGTGTGGCTTTTGGTCTTGGCAAACAGCCAAACTCACCTCCCGCACTGTCGTTCACATGCTGTCATTGTGGTCATTAGCTGAGCTCCTTGTACCTCTGTGTGTATTGGTAAGAGTCTCCCCACCTTGTAGAATAGCTCCCTTTCCAGAACACTCAGGCACTAGTTTGTGGTTCTAGCCGGGTTATGCAAGTGCTCCCTCTTCCTTGTCCCTGACCTCTGGTACTGACAGTCAGTTCCCTTCATGAGGGCTTTCTCTGCCAGTGCCACTCCTGTCTGACAAATAGTGACCCTTGGGCTTGGCTCTTCTACTCATTCAGATGTGCTCAGACTGGTGTGAATAAGCTTAGGCTTCTGACACTCCTCTATCCCTTCCTCTTCCCCCAAATCCCATATTCCTGCCTTACAAGTTCTCTATTGGGCTGCAATGCAGATAGAAAGCTAACCCAGTAACTTTCATACATACAATGGCTTGAAGCAGCTTTCCTTATTTAATTATTGCTGGTCTGAAATCATCTAGTACCAAAACACTCCCTGCTGTCTTAGTTATCATATAATAATAACATTCTGTTATGAGTTAAAATGTGACCATGAAAGAGATGTCACTATATTAACTACATCTCTTGTGGATAGAAGAGGTTTTGCCCTTTGTAAGGTAATAACAGTTATCACATGTTCTGAGATGTGGCCCTTGCAGGGCATGTGGGGCCATAGCATCCTAGAGAGCATTTGGACGTGATCAGCTTAGCGAAGATCGCCTGTGCTGACTGGCAGATCCAGGGAGGGATGATGAATGACCTTGCTGATCTCTCTCCTTTTCCCTTCTTGAACGAACTCCAACTCTAATAGCCATGGTTTATAGACTGCTGACCTTTGAAAGTGCTGTTTGATGACTTGATACCAGAAGAATTTATAGTGGTAGTCTTACAAAATATTAAGTCATGGTTCTCCAACTCTTTATTCACAAATATAGCACATTTATTCAGTCCTCTGCTGGGAGCAGAACAGAGTGATTTTCTCCCACGGCTTCAGCCAGTAAGTCTGCATTGCTAGTTTGTGATTCCATGTTAACATTATCAACTTGGATGTCTTTTTATTGATGGTAAGGAATAGGGACTGGCCTTGAAGCATGAGCCCTGACATTGAGCTTTTGTGTAACCAACAGCTGTACCTGCAAACCTGATACATATGGACCCCAGTGTGGGCTCAGATATAATGACTGCGAGGGGGGCTCTAAAGAGCTCTGTGTCCATGGTGTCTGTGAGGATTTAGAACGACAGCAAGCTGGAACGGTGAGTCCCTTCCCCCAGAGTGACTCCTGCGGGACTCTCAGTGGTCGGTTCCCCATCCTGTGCTGACCGTGTACAAGCACTGCCCTGTGGCACTGTAAATGACTCTTCCTGCCCTTAGCCAGGGACAGGCAAGGAGGGAGGCTGAGATACACAGAAAAGTGAACCCCGAGGTTAAATTTCCATTATATGAAATAGTAACCTTTTCAGTATTCCTGCATGAATGTGAGAGATGATCCTTTCTTGGTCTCGGGAGTTTCAACAGTGCTAAGTCATGGAAACACAGAAGGCTCAGTCTTGTCGGCAACCTGCAATTTTGAGTCTGGAGTTTCCTGGCCCTGAGCCCCTATGAGTGCTGCAGACTCCATAGTGACTGCAGACTCTCTAGTGCCCGCCATGCTCTGGGTCCTCAGGACCTTTCCTCTTGGACCTCAAGGCCACCCAGTGCTGGCCACTCTGCCTCTTCATCAAACTTCAGATCTTTTTGGATTTTTGGTTCTCTCTCTATATATATTATTTTTTCTACTCATAAGATAGAAAATGGTTCATTCCAGTGGTGGAGTGGGAGGTGGAGGGGCAGCAGGAAGGGAGAGAGAGACTTTGAAAAAGGAAGCCAACAACTGATTTTCCAAAGTCTGTGCCTTCATGGTGTTTTTCCCTCTAAAAACATAGCAGGCTGAGCTGATTGACTTTAATTATATTGACTTACAGCTCTTGATTGTTGTTGCTCTTTCCCTGGCATCTTTGGGATAAATTATAGGATTCTCTTACTCTGAAAAAAAGACGTTTCCCTTTTTTCATGGTCTAGTCGAAATGCTTGAATCACATGGGAAGAAAGAGAGAGCGCCTCTCAATTGGCCTGATGGAAATTAATGTTAGATAATAAATAGTTCAGGGGTAGGAGAGATTTTCAAAGACTTTGCTTGCTCCTTTACTTGATTGTCTTCATTTATGTGGTTGTCATCCTACCAGCGCAATTACACATGCATCTGCGAAGCTGGCTGGACATCCTTGCCCAACCACCCTGCCTGCATAGTAGATCGAGATGAGTGCAGCCTACCGTCTTCTTGTTCAGCCCTTGTGCAATGTTTCAACACTCCCGGTTCTTTCTACTGTGGGCCCTGCCCAAAAGGTACATTCTTGGGGTCGAGTGTCGGGCAGGGAAGATACCAGAATCAATTTCCCTCCACTACTGAGATGTTAGGGATAAGAAGACCATTCAAAGGGTGTTTGAGTCCGGTTGCATGGCTTATTTCACTGGCCTCTGGCCAAGATCATCTTATTGCTATAATAGTTCCAAAGGAGAATTGGGAGACTTGTCCAAAACTGTGCCAGAGTCCAAGTGTGGGCCAGGATTAGCCATATAGTTTGCAAGGTCTGACTGTGTGTTGCCTTGGCCATCAACTGATTAGACTTGTAGTCCAAAGATATGTATTCTAGTACCACCTTTCACGCTAACCAGAGGCTTACACATTTGGATAAATTCTTTGACCTGTTGGTGTTTCCACTACAGTCCAGTAGTTCTCACCTCTGCGTGTCTTTTGAGAACCCTGTGCTCTTGCTGGGAATTGGGATATCCAACTCAATCACAGCCCTACAGAAATGGACTCTAAAGGAGGCCTCGTGTTGAGTCGCTGAGAACATGGGCTCTGGGGTGAGACACTACCTGTGTTTGAATCCAAGCTTACTCTCAAGCATATGAGATCTCCTTCACCCATTCAACACATATTTGTACAGAACCCACTGAAACCAAGACACTGAACCGAGTGCACTGGTAGGCAATTAGCTAGACTTATAGACATTTACAAGGCCTCTTTCTACCCTCTGGGTGTTCTTAGAAAGTGGAGCTCAAACAGGTTATTATGTATCAGCTGCTTTTTTATGAAAATGTCATTAAGGGGCCAGGCAAATATAAACAATTGTTGGTTTAACTCTTGAAAGTGTAACACACACAAGTCATGATAGGAGTTAGTGTTATTCACATCTTAAAACATGAGAGCTTTAGGCTTGGAGAGGATACATACATGCCAAGATCACTTAGGTTAGAAATAGCCAAGATTCCAGTTCAAATCTGCCTGACTCTGAATCTGAGCCAAGCTGCTGAATTTCCTTTCCTTTTTCTCACTAAGGAACTCCATGCATCTATTCTTCATTTAGTGACTTTTGGTTTGCTGATTTTCTTCATGCTATAGGATTAGGTCTTATAAATTAGAAGGAAATCAAAATAGGATGTAAAACTTGTCCCCTCTTAGTTCTCAGGGACAAGTAAATTTTGCAAACAATCACATTTGTGAAGGTAATTTACCACTGACAATCTTTAAAAAAACGAATTATTTAAATTAGAGGATGGGCAATATATTTTTATGTTCTTTGTATTTTTGGAGATAAATAAGGGAACCAAAATCATTTTTTAATGTTAATATATGCAGCTCATCAAGTATAAAGAAAATGCAAAAATAGGAAAACAGGCTAAATAGTCCCCATAGTTTTATCACTCTGAGAACCACCATTAATTAACAGTTGGCTATATTTCCTTCTAGTTTTAATCTGTGCAATGAATCATGCACAAATATGATAATTTTTAAAGTAGATTTTTAAAAGGGGATTCTATTTAGACCACAGAATGTAAATATTTTAAAGGCTTAAAATTTTAAACATTACTGTAATTTTAATAACTTTAATTATAAGAATAACACAAACTTATTATCATAATTGAATAAAGCTGAAATAAATAAAGTAAAATGATATTCTCTTTCTTCACCTCAGACCTCATCTCTTTAGTGAGATTACTGTTACCATTTTCCTTTGCTCATACAAATACAAAGAAACACATGCAGATTACAAAGTAATTATTTCCCCAACTTGGGAGTATGATCCCAGCTCTGCATTTTATTCTAAAATTTGTTACTTTCAATTAAAGTGTGCATAGGAAGATTCTTTCAGTGTGTGTTTGTGCCCATGGGTAATGTGCAGGGGTATGCAGTACTAAAATTGCTTTTAGTATTCAGTGGTATAGATGAGTATAAGGTATTAACCTCTATCTCTATTGACCATTGATGGCTTTTCCTATTAAATAATACTATAATACATATCTTATCTACATTTTAATGTTTGTAGTCTTATCACCATAGAATAAGTTTCAAACATGGAATTGATAGTCAATAAGTATATATTTTTAAAAATGTTAATGACTACTGCCAGGTCTCTTTCCAAATTGGTTATATTAATACAACATCCAACTAGCTATATAAAAGTACCAAATTTGCCTATTACTTCACCAGAATTTGTTTCTAAGAATTTAAAACAATTTTTGCCAATATGTCAGTATATCTCATTTTAATCTATAGGGTTTTTTTAATAGAGCAGATGTTTTACATGTTTCAACTATTTGTATTTTTTCTTTGTTGACTTGTTGATAGAGCTAACCTTTCAAATCTTCTTTTTCTAGGCTGGCAAGGAAATGGGTATGTTTGTGAAGACATCGATGAATGTGAGATAAATAATGGTGGCTGTTCTATGACTCCACTTGTTAGGTGTGTGAACACACCTGGATCTTTTATCTGTGAGGACTGTCCACCAGGTAATGTACCAGATTTCCTGAAGCCATTACTGGCAAAAATGTACATTTAAAAACAATCTTGTGTTCCATTTTAAATATGATTTCTATCTAAGGAAAGAAACTGACTAGTACAGAACATTTCAGTTAGCTTGGGCATTCAAGACATATTAGTGCAGCTGTAATATAAGAAAGAAATTAAGAACATTTTTAATATCAGTAGACAATAAGCTATTACAAACTGTGAAACTGCCACTGAGATAGTATAGGATCAGAAAAGTATTCTGGGTGAATTTCAGGTCTACTGTGCCATTGTCACACATATAATCTATTAATGTGGTATACTCATGGGATATTTAACATAAAAGTTTACTAAGAACAGGTATATAATCCATGTTAGTTTCCTTTTTCTTTTGGAAAGAAGTCATTACTGCTATTCTCTAATGTAAATTGAATTTGTAAATAAAAATTCAGAGAGTTCTAAGAGATAAACAGAAACCTTGTAAGTTTTAATGACACAAAGCAATAGTACTTTGGTCTTCTCCAATAATTTACCCCTAAGAATATTAGAATCACAGAAATTAAGAGGATGGCTCAATGTGCATCCATTTAGCTATAAATGTCTCTAGTTTCTCATTCTTTATGGCTGAGTAGTACTCCATTTTATAAAAAACCACACCTTCTTTATCCATTTTCCAGTTGATGGGCATTTGGGCTGTTTCCAGGCTTTAGCTATTATAAACTGTGCCACTATGAACATGGGTGCACATATATCACTGTGGTACGATTCTTTTAATTCTTTGGGGAACATACCCAGCAGGGGAACAGCTGGGCCAAATGGGACTTCCAGTCCTAGTTCTTTGAGGTTTCTCCATACTGATTTCCACAGTGGTTTCATCAGTCTGCACTCCCACCAACAGTGGAGAAAGGTTCCTTTCTCCCCACATACTCTTAAGTGAAATAAATAGGACACACATGTGTAAATACCAAATAGTTTCTCTGGTATGAGAAACTGAAAGTGTAAATGAGGATTAAAATGAATAATTGATCATTTGAAATAGGAAGAAAAGGTCCAAAGGAATAGGGGAAGTGGGAGGGGAAGGGGAAAGAAAAGAAAGGAAAGGAAGAATTATGAGAAAAGGAAAAAATGGAAACAAAGTCTATGTAAATAGGGAAGGGTGGAGGGGGTGAAGGGAGCACAGGGAATGGGGAAAAAATAAGAACCAAGATACAGCATGTAGGTACAAGTTCCCAATGATGAATGTAACTGTATTGTATACCTAAAATGTGCCAATAAAGAATCTAAGGGAAAAAAAAGAATCATAGAAATTAAGAGATGTCAACTTCTTTAGTGTCAACCCTTTCTAAGCCTACCTGTACCTTCACATACATTTTCTTATTAGGAACAAACCAGAACATTATTTATGAAGTCAGGTTGCTAACTCCTGTTGCTCCTGTTTTCAACTATAGCTTTTACTTGCTTATGACACAATATTTTCTTGCATCTTTTGTTTTGGTTACAGAGCATCTCTGGTTGGTCTACTCATGATATCTGATTCTCAGATTGGCCTTACCTTTCTCCCGTATTCTTGACTTTATTTCTCACTCCCCTGCTTTCTCCATCCAGGGTACCAGGGTGACGGAAAAGTGTGCACTGCCATAGACATCTGCTTGATCAACAATGGAGGCTGCCACCCTCATGCAACATGCTTGTCATCTCACGGTAATCCCTCACCTCTCTCTTCGGCCTTAGGTATTTTATTATCATGCTTGAAAGCAATTCAGGATTTTAGAAATGAAATCCTCACTCCTCAAAATTCTTACTTGGATCCTCAAACCAAAAATTAATTTGCGTTATAGAACTACACACTTGGTTTTTAAAAAATGCAACAAGCTATTCCCCAAAGGAATTATGCAGGTAATTCAGACCTCTATTCCAAGCAGGAAAGAGAAAAGAAGGAAGAAGGGAAGGCAACCTCCCTGTGAGAGCTCTTCCATTTCTATGCCACTGGCCAAATCAACTGGAAAGGGGGCTTAGCAGTATAATCTGTGTGTCAGGATCTCAAATCTGCTGAAATAAAGGAGTTCACTACTCAACACGGAGAAAATGGATCTAGAGTAATCCAGGGTCTACAGTATTGCTCACAAAGGGGCTTATCTCCTATAATTTAGCTAAATATTTCTCTGAGAAATGTTGACTTACTATATGCACCCACCGTCAGTTTATTAAAATATATATTTACCCTTGGAAAATAATAGATACAATTATTTTTTTATCTGGGTAAATTTTATAGACAAAAATTAGTTTCCCATTATTTTCATCTATCCTGTTGAATTACTCATAATTTTCATGTTTTTACTAGCTAGCTGTTTTTCTATTTCTTTATATCCTTTGCTCATTCCCTTTCTTACTGATATATAAAATATCATTATGTCTAAAGACATTATCACATTGTCTGTTAAGTTTTACATGCACTTTTTTACCAGGGAATTTTTCTGTTCTTTTAATTTCATAGTGATATTTTCTGTTTAAAAGTTTAAAATTATCCCCCTTAGAATCATACTCAGGGATGCCTATCCTACTGAGTTCTTTGAACATAGCCAAGCGTATATTCTTTCATATTTTTATTGTTTATTACACATGATCTTTAATCTTTTTAGAATTTACTGTCATTTATTTTAGACATCAAATAGAAAACTAGCTTGATAATTTTGTCCAAATGGATAGACCTAACTCCATTCATTCAGTCATTTATCGTATTTCTACTCCTTCAAAATAATACTTTTATTTTAGCCTAACTTGTCATAAAAATGCACACATAGCCAAGAATATAAGTGCATATGTAGATATATACCTATATGTGCATAGCATATACATATACTGTGACTAATGCTTCCTGAATAATTAACAGTATACTAAAGTGACTAGGACAAAAGCGTTCCTTCTCCCTGGTTCCACCACCTTGTGATTTACTGTCCTTGGTCAAGACACCTAACCTCTCTGTGCTTTAGTTCTTTGTCTGTGAAATGAGTAACAGCAGCTATCCCATGGGGCTCTTGACAGGATTAAGCGAGCTCATGTATGTAAAGTGTAACTTCACGTAAACTTTAAGATATAAAAGTAACTTCATTTTCATATAAAGATATGTGAGTGACATGAAGTGGCTCTTTGTATTTTCAAGTTGATCTTTACTGTAAGCAGTAAGCTTACCCCCAGGGATCTTAAAGACGCCCAGGAAAAACTGTAGCCGCATTGGAGGTTACTTAATCCATTTCCCCTGTACACATTTATTTAAAAGAAGAAATGAACTGTAAAGAGCACATCTCTAGGGAATTATTCATTTTCAAAAGGTATTTTTGTGTTTTGTTATTAAAACTAAATCTTGAAAATAATATAAAGTGAAGATGTGAAAACTGCCTATGTCATCAGGTGATTCTGTGGTGTGTATGTCATAATTTATACTATTTGTTTCTTTAATCTTCAGCAAGTTTTTGTATCTGTCTTCAATAGTATTTGCTGATTGAGGGATCTGTATACAGTAGTTGTTATACTGATTTCCATATACTGTTTGAACTATTTTACAGCAATAGAAAGAACATGTACATTTTCAATGAAATGCAGCCTTTGCTGTTAAGAAATCTGAAAATGACTGGGCATTAAACTTAATGAAATATTCTAAAACAATATAATGATATTTTTAAGTGCAGAAGAAAACTATGGAGATCCCAGTTGCTCTTATGCTATATCTAGCTACTATCTCAAGTGCACCATAACTAATAGTGGCTATTACTTCAGGTATAGGATAGATTCAATCATTTCAAATTATTTTTTCCCAGCCTGTCATTGCTTTACCTTTTAACATGGTGATAAAGAGCCCATAAAAAGTTTGGGGAACGTTTTGGTGCTGGTGTTTTGCTGATGTACCCACTTGTTTATGTTTCTGTGTTATCTTCAATCTGCAGTGCCAATACAAGAATCTTTTAAAGCCTTGAATTCATTTTGAGATGGCTAGCCTGATTAAAACTTGACTAAATCAGCCATAATACACCCAGTGCTTGCAACAGATCCCTTCATCAACATAGGTCTCTCATCTGCTAACAACCCCTCCACGGGGAGGAAGTCTCATCTTCCTTTCCTTGGTGTCTTTCGTTTGTACACAGTTTGGGACCACCTGACATGTGAGATGACAGCACTAATGTCAATCCACATGTAAAGTACTGGAAATGCTTAATGGCCTCCTTACTTTCAAATATAAACCAATGAAGATTTTAATATTTTCTCCTCATTCCTTGTCTGCCTGTAGAAGTAAACAGACTTGAGAACTGATGAATTCTGATCAAGACACCAGAGCCTGAGAGTAGTTATTGTATCGAATCAAGGAAGATACCTATATTTACACTTTGATTTTATTTCTGAACAGGTTTGTTACCTCTCTGCACCTGTCTGCCGGGATACACTGGAAATGGTTATGGACCGAATGGATGTGTGCAACTTGGAAATGTTTGTTTAAGTCACCCCTGTTTAAATGGACAATGCACAGTGAGTCCGTTAGTTTGGCTTTTCTATGAATACACTTTATATGACTCATGAGTTTTAAGAGAATGAATCAAGCTTAAGATAAGACACTGCACATAACTCTAAGATAAAATGTAGGTGATAGCTTTAGTTCCTAGGAAAAATCAATGTTAATATTTTATCTTCAAACAAGTAGAACTACTTATACTGAACAGTTATCATTTCAAAATTAAAAGTTGGACTACTGGAAAGCACTTAGTATGAGTCAATTCTTCAGTGTCAGTTTACTGCTTGGGTTGATTCCATTCATTATCTATCCATTTGTTCCATGGTGCTATATGTTTTTTCTCCTTAGGATACAGTCTCTGGCTATTTTTGTAAATGCGATTCAGGCTGGGCTGGTGTCAACTGTACAGAAAACATCAACGAGTGTTTGAGCAGCCCCTGTCTGAATGGGGGGACTTGTGTCGATGGTGTGAATGCTTTCAGTTGTGAATGCACGAGTTCCTGGACTGGATCTCACTGTCAGATTCCCCAGCAAGGTACCGTCAGCATTTCTTATCCCACAGATACAGCTTAGAAATATCATCCTTTTCTGAAGCCTTCTGCAGGTTGCTCTACTGAACCTACTTTCTTTTATAGCTGTTCACTTTTGAATTTTTCTTCAAAAGAATTAAATCAGTATTTGCTCTTTTCATTATATCCTTTCTGAATCTAAAATATGCTAAGGTATTGCTCTTTGTAATTTCCTAAGGGGACGGTTCCTGTATAGCAGCCAGTTTCCCTAGAATACCACAAGTAATCATATCAGTCTTGGCCTAGGGTGTGTGCTGGTCCATTATTGCCTGTTACGTACAGATTGGGATTCAATTACTTTCATAACCAGCCATCACTCTATCCATCTAACCTGATATTTCACTAGCTCTCTAGAAATACTTATTCAAGCGAGACATTTTTCTTTTGTCTCTATGTACCATAATGAGTATTTCCACTCTCTTCCTTTATATGAGATGTTTCTCCCCACAGTCCTCCCCAAATTCCTTCCTGATTTTCCATCCAGGTGTATCTGCTCCTCAGGAGTACTTCACATTAAACCTCCTCCATAAAGTTTTTATGATCACCCCTCACTTAGTACTCCTAATTCTGAATCCACACATTTCTTGAAGTGTTACCGTGCGTTAGAGATAAACCTGTGATAAACCATGTGGACAACATAGAAGCATACAACCTGGTCTCCACTCACTATCTGTTTACCCTCTAGTTGAGGAGACAAGACTAACACACAGTGGCAAGTAGGGTACAGAAACTAAAGCTAAGCACTGAACTGTGTGGAGTAAAGTCTCATAGAGTTGTAGAGAATGGAAGCCAAAGAAAATAAGAGTCAAGTGAAGTTTGAGAAATGGATGAGCTATTAACTACACTTTGTGGTGGGATTTTCAGTGTCACTAGGAAAGGGGACCTCAAAGAGGGAGTGACAGGCTAGAGTTTGCACAGCCGCTCTTCCATTTATGGGTCTCCGAAAAGCACGGTTCATCATCTTTCCTTTGCAGCATGTGGAGGGTCCCTGTCAGGGATGAACGGAAGCATCAGCTATAGAATCTCTGATGTTGATTATCTTCATGATGTTAACTGCTTCTGGATTATCCGAACCGAAGAAGGAAAGGTACATGTAGTAACTCCTGCCCAAACACACATTTTATTTCTATGTTTGAATATGCATTGTGCATATATATTGCATAAGTATGTTAAGTGGTCAATCATAATGAAGTATTTACTAAGTGCCAGCCTTAAGGCTAGACATTTTATCTACCTTTCTTTAACCTCATACTAACTCTTTTATATGAGTAATAATACCTTCATTTTATAAATAAAATAATGGAAAGGAAGAGAAGCTATGTAAAGTTGTTTTTTTTTTTTAAAAAAGAAACCACTACTTAGCTTATAATTGGAATAGTTAAATTTCAAGGAAAAGCTTGGCTCTAAAGGCCATGCTTCGTCAGGTAATGAGTAATTCTCTACACATTGGTTGGGCAGCTGTAAGCCCTTGGTTTATTTGTAAGGTCACATTGTTACTGAGATAGTATTGCTTGCTTAAAGATGATCTTCATATTATGTCAATTATTACACAAAATTGGTGACTGCTATTAGGCTTTATTATTATCACTTGTCCTCTCTGTGCTAGGCACTGTGTTCTGTGCTTCATGGACATCGTTGTCTTTTTAACCTTCATAACTGTAGATAGGAATTGTTATTTTCATTTTACATCTGTAGAACCTGAGCCTTGAGCAGCTGAGACATTTGTCCAGGTGCATGTGGCAGGCAGGGGCTCAACCTCAGGCCATTTGACTCCAAACCCTGTAACTCTAAACCACTAAATACTCTTAAAATTTAATCTGAGCCCAAGGACATTAATTACTTAGATTTTCTAAGTATTTGTTTTTCAACCAACTCCTGAACCTTTTTAAATGTAGTGATCTGTCTGAATAGATAAGATTTTCCCTTGAAATCCTATTAACTTTTTCCAGCGAACTAGTGTTACAGAGGACATTGTACAAGGGTCAGAAAACATTATTTTCTCTTGAGGAGGGAGGGCTTTTTGGGGCCTGGTAACCCACAATAGAGTAAATTCCAAAAGAATTCCTCAGTGGGTATGTTAGGTGTATTTCCTTCCTTCCATTTAGTTTTCATGAATTCTATTTCCTGACATTGAAAATACTTTTTTTAAAGAAAAAATTCTTATGTGAAGGACTCTAAAAATGTTTATTATCAATTTATAAGAAAATTTATTCTGCTTTTCTTGATTGTGTCTTCTTTGCCCTACTATAATGTATGTAATATAGTGGGAAATATACAAGTCAGGATAGTTCAATTAATTAACATTATTTGATTTTTGTTTAAATTGCTGCAAGAGAGAAATAGTGTAATGATGGATAACACATCTTAAAAATAGCCTAACATGGAATTTCAATAATGTTCTGTAATTCTATTTTATTAGCTGAATACTGTTGTGATTTCAGTTTCTAATAAAAATAAATTGAACAATTTTGTTTTGGTTGTTTAAAATGAAGTTGTCAGTACAAAAATCTTTTAAATTATATTATTTTTATTACTGTATTTAAAGGCTGTGCATCCTGATAGTTTGTCTCAGATATGCATTTTCATGTTTGTTCCCTTTATGCTTGTGTTCTCAGTACTTTTCATATCGGTATTACCTTGTTCCCATTCTCTTGGTATTGTTCACCCATAATAATATGCAGCCCGCAAAGATTTGCAGGCTGTACAATGGCTGCTCTGGCTATCCTTGGGGGTGCCAGCCTGGATTAAGCATCTGAGCACCCCGTGGGATCAGCATCCCTGTGGGGCGGTGGTGAATGTAACTGCATATGATACTCACTTGTGAATAGCAACATTAGCCAGATAAACTTAATTCAAGGTAGATTTTTCAAATGACCAGTTTATATTAGTGGCTTAGATACAGTGTCAGCTATAATGTAATGGTTTAATGAAATCTAGGTAAATCTCCATGAATGTTTTTGGTGTATAATGTTTGTACATATGTATGGGGTACAGTATGATAATTTGATACATGTATACAATGCATAATGCTCAAATCAAGGTAATTAGCAGTTCCAGCTCATCAAATAATTTTAAATATATATTGATGCCCTATAACTTATTTTGAGACAGTGCCTCGATAAGTTGCCCAGCTCCAACTTTTGATCTGCCTGCTTCAGCCTCCGAGAGTGCTGGGATTAGAGACATGCACCACCATGCTTGTTGGTCTCAACAATTATAAACACAAGTCTTTTACTATAGATAATTGCTGTTTGTGTTGGTGGGTGATTAAGATGTATAGTAGATATATCTCTGTATACAAGTGCTTGCTAGTTAGTAGGAGACATACTTTACAATTAACATGGAAGTGAAAAATAATATATTGTGGCTTTTATGTTTTTAGGTCTTGCATATCACATTCACTTTCTTCCAATTAGAATTGGAGAACAATTGCCCACATGAGTTTCTTCAGATTCACGATGGAGATTCTTCCGCAGAATTTCCACTGGGAAGATTCTGTGGCTCCACAGCCCCTCAGGATCTTCACAGTAGTGACCACGTGCTCTATTTTCATCTCCATTCTGACCATTTGAGAAGAGGGAGAGGCTTTACAGTACAATGGGAAACACAGCAACCAGGTATGTATAAACTTGGAGCAAAGCAAAGCAAAACTGAATAATACTAGACTTGGGCAAACATAAGTTTTGGAATCCATACATAGATGATATTTTAATAATCATTTGAAAACCAAATTAAGATGAATGAGATTTTATTTCGTATCCACAGATAACATAATCAGGATGGGTTGCAAGGGATTAAAATGCAGGAGTCTTAGTGAGTCCCTTATGAAATTCCTGAACAGCACTTTTATAACCTCTGCTTGTAAGTTCACCGCCAGGATATCACGAGGACACTGTCCACTCGTTCATATAGTGTTCCATGTCTTAATGACAACTTGAAAACGTTTTCTGTTGTTGTTATTTTGTGTTTGATACTCTATTTTTTAAACTTATAACTATAAAAATTTTAAACATACAAAATAAGAGAGAACAGTATTTTGGCTCCCAATTCATTATTCATTTAATTTTGTTTCGGCTGTGGGGGCCAAGAATGTGGCCAGGGCCCGATATGATGATTAATACATTAATCACTTATGATCAGATGTCAACTGGGACCATAGGCATCTAAAAGGTCAACTGGGCTGGACATTCAAGATGGCTAACACAGGCTGGGGGAGAGAACAGTAGCAGCATACTTGTGTACTCTGGGTTCAATCCCCAGCACTGCAAAAAAAACCCCAAAAACTCATCTGTCTAGCAATTAACACTCACCCCAAGTCCTGGGGATTGAACCCAGGGCCTTCTGCATGGTGGATAGCCATTCTACCATTCTACCCTCTCCCAATGCCAGCTTTGGGATGAGTCCTCATCAGCCCGTGGATCTGAGTTCCTAAATATTCCTTCTCTAGTAAAGTGGTCTTGGAGTAGTGGCACTTCTCTTGTGATAACTGACTTCTCTCAGAGTCAGCAGTGTGACAAAGCTAGATGGATGCCGATGAGCTTTTTGATCTACCCTGAAAATCACATTGTATTATTTTTGCCATGTTTAATGGTTGAATTAGTTATGAGCCAGATTCAAGGAGAGGGACACAGACCCCATGTGTCAATGGAAGAAGTGTTAGAATCTATGAACATTTGTAACCGCTGCCTCTTTTAGCCTTATCTTTCCAAGAATTTTTAAGAATTATTAGTGGGTATTGAATTATATAAAATAGTCTTTCTGAGTCTTTTAGAATGACCATTTGATTATATTGAGATGACATATTTTGTAATTGTGAACTATATTCATTGATTTTGAATGGTTTCCTTTGGTATTGCCATTTTACTTTATTTTTTATTAGTATATGTTTTTGATACATCTTGATGAGTTTTGATTCCCTTTTTCCCCATTCCCTCCTCTCTTCCCTTTTCCAAGATCCTTTTTCCATCTCTAAAAAGTCTACCTCCTTGTTTCCTGCCATAACTCCTTTATTTTCCTGTTTATTTTTATTTTTGCTTTTTCATGTAAGAGAAATCATTTGATATTTTGCCTTGTTTTGTTACTTTTACTTAACATGGTGGTCTCAAGATCCATCCATTTGACTCCAGATAACTCAAATTTATCCTTGTTTATGGCTGAGTGATACTCCATTGTGTGTATATACCCCAATTCCTTTATTCATTCATCTGTTGATGAGCATGTGGGCTGCTCCCGTGACTTAGCTATTAGGAATTGTGCTGCTGTAAACATGAGTTTGCATGTATGTATCACTGATGACTTTAACTCTTGGAAACATGCCTAGGAGAGGTGTAGTTGGGTTAAGTGGAATTTCTATTTTTAGTTTTTTGAGTAATCATACTGATTTCCCTATGGTTGTACATCACACAAGCAGTGTAGAAGGGCTTTTTATCCCCACATCCTTGCCAGCATTTTGACTTTGAATCCTTCACAGTAGCCTTAGTAGAGTAAGAATCTTTTTGTTGTTTTAATTTGCATTTCATTAATGGCCAAAGATATTGAATGTTTTTTCATGTATTTATTAGTTATCAGTACTTCTTCTTTTGGGAGTTTTTAAAAATTTCACTTGCCCATTTTTTGATTGGGTCTTTCATTTTGGGGGGCTTAATTGTTTTGAGTGATTTATATATTTTAGATATTACTCCTATATCAAAGCAGTCGCTAGAAAGATTTACCCATTCTGTAGATTGTCTCTTCACTTTTTGGTTGTTTCCCTTGCTCTGCAAAAGCTTTTTAATTTGATATGATCCCATTTGTTGGAGTTGTTATTATTTCTTTTTCATTGCGGTTCTGTTTATGAAACTCTTGCACATGCCTATGTCTTCAAGTGTTTTACCTATTATATTTTTCAGCAGATTAAGTTTGTCTGTTTTTATATCTAAGTATTTGATACACTTTGATTTTATTTTAGTGCAAGGTGAGCAATTATGAGTCTAGATTTGTTCTTTTGCAGTGGATAAAGAATTTTCCCAGTACCATTTGTTAACGAGGCTATTTTTTCTCCAGGACTTGTTTTTGGCACCTTTGTCAAATATCAGATGGTTACAGGGGCATGGGACTGTTTCTATGTCTTCTATTCTATTCCATTCATCTACATATCTATTTTTGTGCCATGCTGTTTTTACTACTGTAGCTTTGTAGTATAACTTGAAATTTGGGATTGTAATGTTTCTCACTTTGCTCTTTTTACTTAAGATTGCTTTATCTATTCTGGGTCTTTTCTGTTCCATTTAAATTTTAAGGCTATGTTTTTCTAGCTCTGTGAAGAATACTGTTGGTATTTAATTGAATTTGCATTATATCTATATATCATTTTTTGGTAATAAGGCCTTATGACATTATTGATTCTAGCTATCCAGGAATAGGAGTTGTCTTTCCATTTTCTAATGTTCTCTCCAGTCTCTTTTGTCAGAGCACTGTAGCTTTTATCATAGAGGTCTTTCACCTCCTTGGTTAGGTCAGTTCCTAGGTATTTAATTATTTTGAAGCCACAGAAAATGGGATTATTTTCCTGATTTCTTTCTTGATATATTCATTGTTGATGTACAATGGTGCTATTGATATTTGTGTGTTAAATTTGTATCCTACCACTTCACTGAATTTATTTATTAGCTCTAAGAGTCTTCCATTGTAATTTTTGAGGGTCATCTATGTAATGGATCATATCATCTGCAAATAAAGATAGGCTGAATTCTTCCTTTCCTACATGTATCCCTTTTATTTCTTTATTTTGCCTTTGCTCTGGATAAAATTTTGAGAATTATATTGAACGGGGGTGTTGACTGTGGACACCTTGGACTTATTCCTAATTAGAGGGAATGCTGTTAGTTTTTTTCCATTTAGTCTGATGTTGGTTGTGAGTTTTTCTTAAATGGCTTTTATCAGCTTGAGCTGATGTTTTTCTGTGCCTATTTTTATATGGTTTTTTTAATCATGAGTTAGATGTCAGGTTTTATCAAAGGATTTTTTTGCATTTTTGAGATGATTGTATGATTTTTATCCTTACTTCTAATTATGTGGTCTATTACATTTATTCATGTAGGTATATAGTACCATCCTTGCATCCCTGAGATGAAGCTGATTTGGTCATGATATATGATCTTTTTAATGATTTGTTGCATTCTATTTGAAAGTATCTTTTTGAGGATTTTTGCATCTCCACTCATTAAGGATACTGACCTGTAGTTTTCATTTTTTGTTGAGCCCTTGTCTGGTTTTGGTATCACAGTAATGCTGACTTCAAGGAGTGAGTTGGGCAGCACTCCTTCCCTTTCAATGTCATGGAAGAGTTTGAGAAGTTATTCTTCTTTGAAGTTCTGATAAAATTCAGCCGGTGAATCAGTTAGGCCCTGGGCTATGTTAGTTGGTAACTTTTATTACTGCCTCAATTTTATTGCCCAGTATTGGGGTATTGGTCTATTCAGCGTTTTTATATCTTATTGGTTCAATTTTAGTAATTCATATGTGTCCAGGAATTTATCCATTTCTTTTAGATTCCCCAATTTATTAGAATATAATTTTTGTTCCAATTTTTTATAATCCTCTGGATTTCAGTGGGGTCCATTGTGATTTTGCCTTTTTCATTTCTAGCTACATGGATATGTGTCTTTTCTTTCCTTCTTCTCATCAGTTTGGCTAAGGATTCATTGATCTTATTTATCCTTTCAAAGAACCAACCCTTTGATTGATTGATTCTTTGTATTACTTTTTAGTACATCTTCATTGATTTGTGCTCTGATCTTCATACTTTCTTTCCTTCTACAAGTTTTGAATTTCTACTGCTCTTGTTTTTCTATGGCTTTGAGATGTATCATTAGGTTATTTATTTTGGATTGCTTTGTTCTTCAAATGTAGGCATTCATAGGTATAAACTTCCCCCTGAGAGCCACTTTTCTAGTGTTCTACAGGTTTTAATATGTTTTACTTCTATTGTCATTTGATTCCAGAAACTTAAATTTTTCTCTGATGTCATCTGTGACCCATTGATTATTCAAGATTGTATTGTTTAATCTCCATGGGTTTGCGTAGTTTCTGTGGTTTCTTCTGCTGTAAATTTCTAGTTTCATTTCATTGTGATCTGATAGGAGACAAGAGATTGTTTTAATTCTTTTGAATTTATTTAAAAGTGCTTTATTGCTTCAGATATAGTCTATTTTGAAGAAAATTCCATGAGTTGTTGAGAAGAGTGTAAGCCCTGCTGTTTGATGAAACTCCATGGATATCTGTTAGGTTCATTTGTTCAGTGGTGCGGCTCAACTCTGATACTTGTTTGCTGAGTTTTTATTTGGCTGACTTGTGAGAGTGGGTGATTAAAGTCCTCCACCATGACTGTATTGGTGTCTATCTGTCTTTTCATATCAAGTAGTTTTTGTTTTATGAAATTGGGTGTGCTGACAGGTGCTGCATCTATGTTTACAACTATTAGCTCTTTCTGTTGAATCGTTCCCTTTACCATTATGTCTTTGTCTCTTTGGATAAGCTTTAGCTTAAAGTGCACATCATCTGAAGATTAGGGTACTACTTCTCCAGTGGTACTTCGGGGACAGTGAGAGAGACAGCCCTCTCTGCTTCTTCTCTAGGG